ATCAACTGAAAAGTGAATTCATTTGGTATGTACTAACCTTTCCAGTTAGTTAAAAAATCCAACAAAACAAAGCAAAGAGAGTCATCTGGAATTGGAAAACAATGCTTCTTGCTGTGGCATGATCAAGTGCGGTCGCTTAATTTAACGACACAAGCTCAATAAGGAGGTTTTGAACACAAGTATCAATAAAGATGTTTATTTTCAACTACCACTGGAAAATATGCAGTAAGGTATTTTTGAGATGGCTGACGCTGTAGCTGCTCAGTGCATCTACCCACTCCATTTCTATCTGAACATTCTCTTGCCTCCCTTAATCTTACATTTTCCCCATGAGAGCACTGTGATCCCTGCAGCAGCTCGGGGCCAACTGCAGTTATGTGCCTTTGTGCCTGCTGAAGCCACTGCATGTCTGGCGTGGCATTTGCATAGCTTAACACGTATCAGTTGCAGGAGTGAGCAGGCAGCGCGCCGCTCCGCTTGATCCATGCTCAGCTACGGGAGCACAATGCTGGACTCCGCTTGGCAACCTCCATCAGCGGCATCTGCAGCCTGCTCCACCCCATTCTTCTGCTGCCTACACTCCAGGGGCAGATGGCAAAACCAAACTCCCACACTAGACTAACACACAGCAGAAAAAAGGGAGGAATTCGTATTATTTCCTCCAATGCAGAGGAAGCAATGAATTGCACCCAAAAGGCAATGTATTTATGAATAGAACAAATACAATCCCATAAACACATTCAGTAGACAAAAATAAGGCAGCAAAGGTACTAAGCCATTCGCATCAATTTGCTAAGGTTAATTATAAATGTGATAGTTGAGAATTAGCAATGTCAGACCATGAGGGACCACCCTGTCACAAGAGATTTAATGCTTCTCCTGCCTTTCTAACAAACAGGGGAAAGAAGTCCTAAAAACGCTTAAAAGCCAGTTTTTGTCATTCAACATTTTTGTTACTGTCATTACTTTCTGTTATTAAAAAATAAACCCAAATATGTTTGTTCACTTCATGCACTACGGATCTCGTAGAAGTATAACATCTAAATCTGACCTTAAAATGCAATTTCTATTTCAACAGCCAATTGATATATATATACATATATATAACATATATATATATTTTGTTTCTTCAATAGGAATGGAAATAAATTACTTCTTGGGAACAATGTAACCTGTTCTCTTGGTTTATCCACAGCTTAACAATTCCATTACCACAGTTGCAGCTCCTGCACACAACGCAGCAGAAAGCATCTCATTTTCAACCTTTTGTTCCTGCTTTTTCTCTGCACAATTTCTAAGTAAGGACAAATGAAGATTCCATGGAGGAACCCATTGCTCGTTGCATTTAAAAGCACACAAATCACACAGTGGGATTTGCTATCTGTTTTGAACAAATCCGAATCCCTGACCAAGGCCTTTCACTGAATACAGCCATCAGAATCTTCTGGCACTTTGCTGAAAACAAAATGCCAAAAGGAAATGGATTATCTGTTTTCCAGAAAGATACAGAACCATTTCAGGCTGAGCAGGATTTCTGGCTTTGTCTTTTTTTCACCCTCCTAATGTGTTCTGCTCATTCGCCATCTCCAGACAACTGCTCTCCAGAACCTACTTAAATATGTATGAAAGACTGCTCAAGAGTCACGTACCTTTTAGACTGGAACACGTATCTGTTTTACGGTAAAATATCTACTAAAACCCCAGAACAGTTAACATGGACCTGCTGAAAACACGTACAGTGATAAACGCTTAGGCTTTTCCTTAAATATCAGGGCAAATGATTACACTGGTGGTACCTATTTATGATCTAGCAGTGTAGATTTATATCAGTGTAAGCAGGTAAGGTGTATTCAGGCAACAAACTGAGAAACAATTGACTGTCATTAATTTATATTAAATTAAAATGGGAAAAAAGTTAATAAGAGAAGAAGAAATCCTGATTCTTTCATGAAAGAGACCGTAGTGTTTGCCCTATATATGAAAATGACATCTATGAACGGAACACAGGGTGGGAGGATTTCTTTTAAATGTCTCCCTGCTCGGGCAGACAACTCCGCTGTGCAAGCAATTTATGTGCTCCTCGTTTTAGAGACCCGAGCTCCTTGAGGAAAGGGCTCTCCAGCCACCACTGAACACCCAGCCCTTTTCTCCTCTCCCCTCACCCAGACTCTGCACTGCATCTCCTGACCTTGGACAGGGCTGGTGATTGCTGAGGGAAGCCATTGCTGTGCACTGAATCCCCTCCGCCGATGGAGAAGCTCCGAGTTCTCCATCTCCCCCCAGGGCTGCTCCTCAGGGGGGCGGCGGGGGTTTACCGCAACCCCCCCGGGGCAGCGGCAAAGGGAAGGGCGCGGGCCCCTCGCTCTGCCCACAGGGACGGGCCCTGCTGTCCCCGCGATCCCCCCGCCTGTTCATCCCCTCCCCAGGGCGCTGAATGAAATTCCAGCCGCGGGTCGAGGCTGCCCAGGGCGGCTCCCGCCGCTCCCTGACCGCCTGCCCTTAATCCGCGCCGCTCCCCCGCCCTTTATCTCCCTTCCCTCCCCCGAGAGACCCCGGGCGCCGCCGCGGCCCGGCTCTGCGCCCGCGGTAACACCCCCTTCAGGGCGGCAGGGCGAGAGCAGAGGGCAGGGCCGGCCTCAAGGCTGCCCCACGGCTGAGGGGAGCGCGCACCCGTACACCTGTCCCCGCAGCGGCGGAACGGGTGCGGGGGGGCTCTGCGTACCCGAGTGGGGCCGGATGAAGGCGAGCGCGGCTCCCCCCCGCCCAGCCCCGCCGCCTCCCCGGGCCGGAGCGCAGCGCAGCGCAGCCCCCGCCCGCCGCCTCACCCGCTCGGTGCGCAGCGTCCCCTCCGCCGGCTCCGCGCCCTCCGCTACGGACGCGGCGCGCCGCCGGAGCCCGCCCTTTTATAAGGCGGCCCGGAGGTGACGTCAGCGCCGCAGAACGGTCCCTACCCGGCCAGCGGAAAGAGCCGAAGGACTTCGGTATTCATCGGGAGCTGGGAGCGGGAGGGAGCGCTCCCACCCACCCGAGCGCCGCGGGCGAGCTGCGGGAGCGGCGCATGCGGGGAGGGCCGGAGGGAGCCGAAGAGATCCGGGAAACACCGAGCGGTGCCGGAAAGAGCCGAAGGGTGGGGCCGGGTGGGCGCGGGGCGTTCGTCCTCGTCGCGGTGCTGCGGCTCTGCGGATAGCGCTGTCGCGTCAGTCGCGACACGAAGTACAGGGTTCCATTGGGAGCCAGTTAACATGTCCGTGCAGCGTGGCAACAGCAGCGGTGTCTGCGCCCTTTTCCTCAGCCAGGGGCCGTTTGGGCTCTCGAGGTGCCGAGCAGTGCGGAGGAAAGGTTTTACAATTCAAATCAACAACAGCCCAGCCTCCAAGAAGCATTCTCATTAGTTTTATGTTGTTAAAAATCAGGCTTTGGAAGCAGAGTGCAGTGCCACAAAGCAGCCTGTCAAGGACACAGCATCAAGATGCTGCAGGCGCTTGTCAAGAGAAAAATCTATTTTTGAGAAGCTGATGCATAAATTCAAAGGAAAATGAGGCTTTAGTGCAAACTGGCTGTTCAAAATAGACACGGCAAAGGAGTTCTACTTTAATCGCTTTAAAAATAAGAAATTGAAGAGGCCTGGTAAGGCAGCAAGAACTTGATGGGATCAAAGAAGCGAGGGGGTTTGAGTGATTTTCGAGCTAATAACACTTTCTTCAATAAAAGTACTTAAATGGCAAAAGCACACTTGCAGTGCCATTGCATCACAACCCATGGGACTGCCTGGAACTATTGTCTCCAAGGAAGAGTATGACTCACGGCGATTTTAACGCATCTCGTCCTGAATGCACAGTATTTTCACAGCTGAGATGCTCTCCTTTGTCCTATTCACTACAAATAGCACAGGAACATACCAGAAATACATGCACGAAGACCTTACTTGCACTGCACCTTCACAACACTGAATGGCTAACACTGAAAAGCGCTCTAACAACAAAAAGCAGAAGAGCATAATACAAGGCAACCATCAGTTCAAGCAGGAGATGCAACCTTAAGCTGCATCTAAAAATAAGTGTAGATTTATTATGATTCTTTTGAAGTGCACTCGTTCAATTAGATTTCATCAGTTTTGACATAGTAGGTATCTGGATGCCCTTTACCGAGGCAGAAAAGGATACCGTGCTTGTTTCTTATAAAATATGTACTTAAATTCCCCCACAAATGTTGGAAAACCTGTCAGCAAAAAAAGAGGAAAGTCATTGTACCCAAGATACACATCATCAAATCGCTTCCTTGTGTTTTGGCACAGGCAGACAATTGTTCCTAACAGACAGTACCAACTACTGTCTTGGCAAAGCGAGTCTCCCAACATAACTGTAGATCTGCAAGATGTAATTAAAACATCTCCACTTGGTATAAGAAAACGTGAACATTTTCAAGTGTACTAATGGAAGTTGTATTGCTTCAGTGTTATCTGGTACAAGGATACTGGAAGGAGAGTTCCAGTACCCCAGAATAGTCACCGGTAATATTAGTCTAAAGAATTCCAGAGTCAGTTCATAAAATACATAAGCCAAATACAAATCTAAGTGCTTTGCAGTCAATTCTAAAGCCAAGGTTAAAGGTTTTAAAGGCCTGAATTCCAAAGTACATGTTACAGCCTTTTCTCAGGAATCTCAAGAGCTATATAAAAATCAGATTCTCATATGGCCTCAATTGTGCTTTCTACAGCCTCAAGTTGTGGTGCCTCCAAGAATAACAAACCTGATCTGGTAAAAAGAATGATTTTAACCTGCAGCAGTATATACAAAAATAACACACTGCTTTCTAGAACCCAGAAGCAAATCCTCTCATCTTAGAGGCCACCAAATAGCTCAAGGTCAGAAAAGTCACCCATCACTGCTCTCCTGTGCTATTTCCTGCATTCACCAAGAAGCTGTGGCTTTTCTTGACTACCCCTAAGAGAAAAACAACATTGCTCCCCTATAGAAAAAAAAAACAGAATCAGGTTCAGATTAAAAGGAAAAACCAAACTTTAATATTAAACATTTCTAGATTGAACTATTGGTACAAAAGTATTACAGTACAAAAAATACTATTATTATTAATGAGGAAGAAATTCATTTACATAGAGAGACCTTACAAAATGTACCTTAGGGAACCCATGTGAGGATGGAGGCACGGACCCAGAGGTAGAGTGCAAGCTGGCTCTTTTATAAAGATTACATGATATTTATATGCTTCCAAGCAATTAGCAAAGCACATCTATCTGATTTTCTTATCGACATCCTCTTTCCAGTTCCGACATCCTTGTTCCTTGCCAGTTCCAACATCTTCCAAGTACCAGTCAGGGACAGGTCACACTTAATTGCCAGCTGTAGTTTCTGCTTCCCATGGTCTCTGAGAGCTTTGATACATTCCAACCCCCACAAACACAAGCATGCCATATCCCCCACAAATGATGGCAGAACATCAGCCTAAGTGCTAGAGTGAATGCACCATTTTTCCACCTTTTAAAATAAGAAAAGGGCTTATTAGCTTCCATCCACCTGATGAAAAACAGGCACAGAATTTGTGTTGTTTCAGGAACTCTGCTCTTCCCCCATGAAGTTACCGTTGTACATTCAAACCTTTTAAAGCCATAAGTCTGCCTCTCTTAAATCAGGAGTAATCCCTTTTGGGGTGAAGTTACATTCAAGACGGGTGTCAGTACTGCCAGGCCAAACGCCTTCAATCTCACTGTAGTTTTAGGATGTTGTCAAGACAAACAGGATGCAAGTACATCAGCATAATCAAAACTGAATTATAAAAGATAGATGTAGTAAGTACAAAAATGAAGTTCTAGCAGTAATTTTGAGGTTGATTACCCCGTTAGGAGTTCATAAGGCTGTGAGGTATTTTCACTTCCATCAACAGAACAGCACTGTGCAAATTTTCAGTCTTTTATCTCTGTAGCTCAGAGGTCATCAGGATACTCTATTTACAACATCTTCCACATGTTTAAATGTATGAAGACTCTTCATATGTTTTTGCAACAAATGAAACACAAGTTTGTCCTGCCCAACGTAAGTCTTGATGAATTTAACATCAATACGTCAATGGAATATTTTCCTCCTGATTTCTCTGTATACAGAATAATTCTGCCTTTACTTGTAAACAGGAATCCAGGTCTGAAAGCACTGACATCCAGGGGGAAATAAACATAATCTGATTTATGATCTCCAAAAAGAAGACTGCAGAGTTCCCTTTGGTAATGGAATCTCCTTCTGCTGTAGACATTCCTGGTGGAAAAAGACAAAGAAGAAAGAAATGTGGGTCTTAGTTTGCCGTCTCTTCGCAGGAATTTTGACAGATAGAATCATAGAATACTTAGGGTTGGAAGGGACCTTAAGATCATCAAGTTCCAACCCCCCTGCCATGGGCAGAGACACCTTACACTAAACCGTATCACCCAAGGCCTCGTCCAACCTGGTCTTGAACACTGCCAGGGATGGAGCATTCACAACCTCCCTGGGCAACCCATTCCAGTGCCTCACCACCCTAACAAGAAAGAATTTCCTCCTCATATCCAATCTAAACTTCCCCTGTTTAAGTTTTAACCCATTACCCCTTGTCCTATCACTACAGTCCCTAATGAAGAGTCCCTCCCCAGCATCCCTATAGGCCCCCTTCAGATACTGGAAGGCTGCTATGAGGTCTCCATGCAGCCTTCTCTTCTCCAGGCTGAACAGCCCCAACTTTTTCTGCTGTCTTCATACAGGAGGTGCTCCAGCCCCTGATCATCCTCGTGGCCTCCTCTGGACTCATTCCAACAGTTCCATGTCCTTTTTATGTTGAGGACACCAGAACTGCACACAATGCTCCAGATGAGGTCTCACAAGAGCAGAGTAGAGGGGGCAGGATCACCTCCTTCGACCTGCTGGTCACGCTCCTTTGGATGCAGCCCAGGATACGGTTGCTTTCTGGGCTGCAAGCACACACTGCCTGCTCATGTTCATTTTCTCATCAACCAACACCCCCAAGTCCTTCTCTGCAGGGCTGCTCTGAATCTCTTCTCTGCCCTACCTGTAGCTGTGCCTGGGATTGCTCCGACCCAGGTGTAGGACCTTGCACTGCTAATAAATGCACCAAAATTCATTTTTAAATGAAAGTACAAGTTCTGAAGCTCTCATATTTTAATATCATAATCTAAGTCAATACAGAACAATTTAAATCAAATATTTTACAGGTTTGCAAGCTTTCTTAAAGAAAAGACGCAGAAATGCTCAACAAATGCTACAGAGAGAAGATCAAACTGTCTCCCTCCACATGTATCTGATCAGGGCAAGAGAGAAAACCAAGCAAACCACTGATAAAAAATAGCTGTTACAGAAATGACTCAGCAGAATCCTCCTCAGCATACACCTCTGCTCTTACTGCAGCCAAGCTCTCAGAACTTCACTTGTGAATAAAACACATTTTCTCAGAGAAAAACGAGATGCTAGGTAAGAAAGCAGCAAGATTTTTCACATCGTAACTATCATTAAGGTAATGCAGTAACTGAGAAGTTTCCAAAGAGGGGTTACATCATAGTGACAGGTCTGGACTGTCAGGAATGCTGCAAGCGGTGCTGGCCTCATTAGTCAAAATGATGCAGATTATCAAGCAAAGGGAGAAAAAACCCACAACCAAATTACTTGAAAACTAAAGAAAAAAACCACTTCTTTACCTCCAAGAACTGTCTGAAACGCATCAAAGAGCCCATCTGTCTAGAGTTGGTAATGGCTTCAATTCTGCAGAAATAACAGCGTGTTTCAAAATCCACTTAGAAAGGTGGGTTTGATTTATGAGTGGGTATGGGGGTGAATGGCAGAGGTTGGAAAAGATGAAGGAACCACTTAAGAGCAAACACAAAGTAAAAGCCAAGGATTATTTCACTTTCCTAAGCACAGATACCATACCTTGGGCAATAGTCGTCTTGGATAAGCAACATAATTTTCCAGAACTGAGCCTGATACTGTTTCATGAGAGCATTGCCACAAACCTGTGGTACAGAAATCCACAAAGACTGGGTTCAGAATTGCATTTCAGACTAGCAGGACACCTTCACGGGGCCTGTTCACTATCAACCACTTCATATTTCAACCAGACAGTTAAAGAAATGTACCTACACCCACAATAAAACAAGCAAATCCTCTAAATGCCATTAATGCTGCCACAACCACCTTCTTTTCTTGGTGACTGAGGGGTGGCCACTGATACCAACCTTACATTATTCTTCCTCTCATTCTAGTCTCCCTCCAAAAGTAACACCATTCCCTATTACCATTTGCTAGAATATACTCTGGTCATTTCCCCACTTCTATTACTGCAGTGTGGATTCATAAGCTTTCTTCATTCAGTTTACAGGAGAAATGTTCCTCAACCTTCACCACTACTAACAGAATCCCCACTTTACTTTTGTCATTTCCACTTTTACAAAATCCATTAGAATGCATGTGATAAGCAGAGAAGCTGCTTGTGTTCAACAGTGTCTCCCCAACTTCAACCTTTAACTGTGTTTTATCTAGCACAGGCCTATATCCTAGGATATAGGATAAACATACATCAGGCTCTATCCTTTTCAGCCTGAAAAAAACATGTTTTACAAACTAATTCAGGCTGAAGAACACAGGGCCTTACTGCATTGTACAAAGTGATGCCAAGTGCTCAGCAGACTTTATTCTTACAGGGCCACACATAAAATACCACAAACCTTAAACGGAACCAAATAAAACAACAGAAGGTGCATGTGTAAAACCTTTTGGTTTTAAATCACTCCACTCCAAAGCTGTGTTTGCAAGAACATGGAAATACTCACATTCCCTTCTGAAGGAAGTACAAACTGAAAACATCTGCTGTTAAAAACTCACAATGAACCTCAGCTCAGCAATGCCTTCCGAAACTAAAATGGCACCAGTTTAGCTACCACCAGTCTGCACCTCTTACCTCCAGAAAATCATACAGAAGTGTAGCTGTCACATCTGCTAGAGGCTCCATGTTCAACATCTGAGCAAGCCAGCGCCATCCGTGGTGTAGCCCATGAGGATGTGGCTATAAAGCAACAAAAAAACGACAAGCTACCCACCACTTGTTTTACGACCTGCAAAACACTATTATCAAACCAGGCAGCTTTCTGATTTACTTTCTTCTTTCTATTTTGCCATAACCTAACATAAAACTTAGTCAGTATGAAAATACAAAGAAAGGAATTATATGTCTACATTCCAAATGACTCTGCATTGCTTTGTTGATTATGGTTATGACCATCTCCCTCCAGATAAACTGTGAGCTGGTTTAAGTTCAGCACACCTTCACTACTAATCAAGTTTACAATGCATTTACTAGACTCTTGGGATAGTAATGCTGTACACACATACCCCTTGTTTGTTTCCATAAGGCCACCGGAGCTGAATGATAGCAGCATAAAGACGGATCAGTCCTGACATCCGTTTAAGAAAATGATCTTGCTCTTCCACCTTAGAATCATTAACTTGATATCCAAGCATCCTAAGTATGACAAAATGTTGCATTAGTTGTATTAGTACAGCAAAACACATTCACTTGAGTCCCTGCAGTTCTCAGCTTACTTTAAGTCAACTGTATTGAGTAAGGGATATGCCAAAACCACACAAGAATTACTGCAGAGGCTGACCATAACCCTCAGAATCACATGTTCCACTATTTTATACCATATAGAATATTTGGGTTCTGTACTGGATATCTCAATTCCAATCAAGCTATGTCTATCAAATGTTCTTTGAGAAGGATGAGGAAGAAGCAGCAAAAGCTAACTTCCAAAGCTGAAGGACACAGCGTCCTTCAGGAAACAGGGTCAGGGGAGCCACACACTTGTGTGTTAATCTCCAGAGTCTATGCTAACACATCACAGTGCCTGTGTAATCCAAGATGGGAGAAAGCGGAGCTCACTCATAAAAACACAGTCTTCACCCTTGCAGGGTTCATCTGAAGAAATCCAGTAACAAACTTACTTCTGATACTCTTCCATAGAAGTCCCCTCTTTCAATGCAGGGTAAAATGGCACAGCATAGGGGCACTTTTTGTGCAGATGAGCTAAAAAGAGGTCTCCAACTCGAGGGTGCATTTCCCAGATTCCTGAGGCCACCACAGCAATTGGGAAAGCTGAATCACGGTGAGAAGATACTTCTTCTTCTCCTTGATTCTGGAGAGGGGAAAGGGAAGTCAGTCTCCAAACCCTTCAAACTACTTCTCAGACAAAAAAAAACCTCCTCTTTCTTTGTGTAGTTTGCCTCTACTGAAGGATCCCACTGCTTCCATGTTTCCTTTCTTTTTGTTGTTCCTCCCAGTTCTGGCAAGGTTTTGAGTATATATATATATATATATATATATATATATATATAGCTTCGTGGTAGATCATAAATAAACTATCAACCAGTTCTCCACTAACACTGTACCTAACTAGATCAGAGTATGTACCATTTAAGCTTGGGATTTAAAATAGTTCTCCTAGGAGAGATGAAAGGGAGCTGGGAGGGAAAGAGAGACTAAGTTCTCACTTGTTTTTAATCCAAAAGATGCTTTCTCTAATCAATATGAACATTAATACATGCAAGCTAAACACCTAGTAATCTTGTTCTTAAGAGCCGAAGACAGAGGACAATGTCCCAAAGAACCTCTCAAAGCACCAGCACCAGAACATTTCCTCACCACAAATTTCTCCGCAAGTTTGTAATAAACAAAATCCAGTCCCTGTGGATGCTGAGTCACTGATACAGATCTCCCTCCACTCTGAACAGTCTTCCCAGAGAGCAGGTTATTGATCTTGTCAAATATCTCTCTCAGCTGAGAGCCTGCAAATATATCAGGAACGTATAGAGACAGAAGATTAGGAAACAGCAGACAAGCCTGGACCAGACCACATTAACTTAACAAAAAACTAGACCTACATCCTGAAGGGCAAGGCACCTCAAACTGCATGTTTGCTACATCTGATTAAAGAAACTTAATCATGATGAAGCAAGATGCCTCTGAGGGAAGCAACAAAACTTCAAAACATAAGCAAACACTGTGCTGCAAAGACTTGGACTGCATGCAAGCCGCCTTCTGCTGTAGGGATGATTACAGAAACATTAGGTATGTTGTGTTCTACTAAAGGCAGAAGGCATTTCAGTTGGATTGGGTTCTTGGTGTTTTCCTGACCTGCAATTCGAGAGATCTGGCTCACAGGGATCGTAGCTGCTTTCTGCAAGTCTGTTTTTATCTTCTTAACCTGCAGAATAAACAAACAACTTTACAAACCTTTACAGACAAGTAAAGTACTACGATAGTAGAGATTCAGAGCAACCCTGCAGAGAAGGACTTGGGGGTGTTGGTTGATGAGAAAATGAACATGAGTTGGCAGTGTGCGCTTGCAGCCCAGAAAGCAACCGTATCCTGGGCTGCATCAAAAGGAGCGTGACCAGCAGGTCGAAGGAGGTGATCCTGCCCCTCTACTCTGCTCTTGTGAGACCTCACCTGGAGCATTGTGTGCAGTTCTGGTGTCCTCAACATAAAAAGGACATGGAACTGTTGGAACAAGTCCAGAGGAGGCCACGAGGATGATCAGGGGACTGGAGCACCTCCTGTATGAAGACAGGCTGAGAAAGTTGGGGCTGTTCAGCCTGGAGAAGAGAAGCTGCATGGAGACCTCATAGCAGCCTTCCAGTATCTGAAGGGGGCCTATAGGGATGCTGGGGAGGGACTCTTCATTAGAGACTGTAGTGATAGGACAAGGGGTAATGGGTTCAAACTTAAACAGGGGAAGTTTAGATTGGATATAAGGAGGAAATTCTTTCCTGTGAGGGTGGTGAGGCACTGGAATGGGTTGCCCAGGGAGGCTGTGAATGCTCCATCCCTGGCAGTGTTCAAGACCAGGCTGGACGACGCCTTGGGTGATAGGATTTTGCGTGAGGTGTCCCTGCCCATGGCAGGGGGGTTGGAACTAGATGATCTAAAGGTCCTTTCCAACCGTAACCACTCTATGATTCTATGATAGTTTGGATGAGCAGACTGTTTACAGAGGCTGCCAAGTTAGAATTATTATTATTATTTGTTAATGAAAGCTGTCCTATTCCCCCTAGAAATGAAGATAATTGCTCTTCAGCAGTATTAATCATGTTCATACCTCATTGTTGTCTTTGCAGTTGCTGATTCCTCTGAAAGCAGCAACACACTGCTCAGCAGCATCTTGAAGCTGCTGGTACCACTGCATGGTACTTTCGTCTGCCTTAACTTGAAGTCCTGGTAAAAAAAAAATTAAGCAGAAGACTAAGAAAGACCAAAACCTCTAAAAGACCTTAAGAAAACTTAAAAAAGAAAATGCAAGCAACTAAGACCTGCAGGAATGGTCTTCCCCAGAATTTAGCTTAGAAAGTGCCATGGTTTAACATAAACGGACTACAGGTTTACTAAGCTGAAGTCCTTCTTCGGCTTAGTACCTTATAGGTGCAGGACATCAGGTTTTAACTTAGGAGGAAGCCATTTCAGTGATCTGTCCTTGTATGTTTTATTGTATTATGCACGACCCATCTACAGTGGCACCATGTTATTCTTTAATATTCCAGTATATGGCACACAGTCTAGGAAAGCAGGTTTTGCTTCAGTTAATACAGCCAATTTATGCTGCATCCATTTCATCTCACAAGTTTGCTGTCAGTGGTCCTATACCCATTTTGCTAGTTGGGCTAAAAGTAAAGGCTACAAGAAGGTATGCTGTCACAACAGGACGATTCCAAAGTAGTATTTAAACTAAGCGCATGAGGGAAAGGAAGAAACAAAAATCCTAACCAACCTTCCTTCTGCTGCTTTCCCCCAGCCTGCTGTGCAGGGGCAGGAGTCTGAGCGCTTGTCTGCTCTTTGTTCAGTGACCCTTTCTGCTTTTGTTTCGCTTCCTCTTCATCTCTCTTCTTTTTTTCTTCCACAGCTGCAGCAATTTCTTGCTGCATGCTGGATATCAACCCTCGCATCTCCTGCAGCGCTCGTTCAGTATTGGCCACATCTGCTTGAGTAGGGAAACCTTTCTGTCAAGAAACAGAGGAGGTACATACAGCATCAAACTTCGCTCTGCTATCCATAGACCAACAGCAAGAGCAAGGAGCTTTTGAAGCATCAGCCTTCAGATCATTGGGAGCTAACCACACATTTCATCCTCTTTGGTGAAAATACCATTTTCTCCTTTATCTGTACGTAACACAGGTCATAACATCTGTGAATAATGTTAGTGCACAACTAGATCTCACAAGACCTTGAACAACAGAAATTAACACCACACTGACAAGTCTAAGGGAAGCCCAATGCAGAACTTTGACAGCTCTCTCTGTGACAAGCTGGAACAGAGAACCAGCCTTCTCCTGTTTTATTTCTCCACGTTTGTATCCCACCTTTAAAGAAACAAGTTTTCAAGGAAACCTAGTTCCTGCACAAAGGCAGACAAGTACAGGAGAATCATCATGTATTTAACAATTTGTGAACCACCCCGCTTCCATGGTTGTCTCAAAAGGGAACTTTACAGCACCAAGAATTTATAGCATTTGAATACTGAATCTTTCTCCTGTAGAAATCCTCATGCATTTTTATAAGCCATTTTCAAGAGAACAGCTGAAGTGCCATAGTAAAGAATTCTCCTTTTAAATTAGATGCTTAATAGGACAAGTATCTAAAAGCATTTCTGTGACATCTTATTTAGCAGCCTCATAACAAGCTGCCTTTGAAGACAACAGCAGGAAGCTTTACGAAGGAATGACAACCAACGTTAGAAACAACTCTAGAGCCTTTACCTCACTTGTGGTGCGGATGAGTCCTGACACCAGCCCACAGATCTGGTTGCCACGATTACTGTATGCAGAAAGATCAATTCTTGGCAAGTCTTTGTGTTTGTAATTGGGATCAATCTGCTGGTTAAGCTGCAGCACTTCCTCCTGGATGGAATAAAGGCGACGCAATCTTTCCTGGCTCTCTTCCTTACGCTGACGCTCCAGCTCCTCCTGACGCTGCCTCTGCTGCTCTGCCTCACGCAGTTTGAGGTTTAATACCTGGGGAGAGAAAGACCCAAGAGACACAAAATACTTAAAAAACTCCAGTTTTACAGCTCCTTCCTGATCCGATGCCTCCGGTTTTACAGGTCCTTCCTGCTCCTACAATACATGTGCTTTTAACCACATTTCCACAACAACGCAGCAGGTGTCTAGGACAGCACCAGAAAACACTCCCACTCCAGGGGTGCATGTAAATACAAACAAATCAATCGGTCTTTCCAGTTCCCACCAAGTAGTCACAATCTCTTATGAAAGACAACTCTTAGAAGTCTCAGACCTTTGCTCTGTGTCGGTGTTCTTCCTTCAACTTCTCTTGCTGCCCTTGAGCCTCCTTTGAGCTACAATACACAAAGACAGAAAAACTCTATTCAAGACATGCACAAGACAAAATACAAACACACAGCAAGCTACTTTTCATAGAATCATAGAATAGAATAATTAGGGTTGGAAAGGACCTTAAGATCACCTAGTTCCAACCCCCCCGCCATGAGCAGGGACACCTTATGCTAAATCGTATCACCCAAGGCCTTGTCCAACCTGGTCTTGAACACTACCAGGGATGGAGCATTCACAACCTCCCTGGGCAACCCATTCCAGTGCCTCACCACCCTAACAGGAAAGAATTTCCTCCTTATATCCAATCTAAACTTCCCCTGTTTAAGTTTTAACCCATTACCCCTTATCCTATCACTACAGTCCCTAATGAAGAGTCCCTCCTCAGCATCCCTATAGGCCCCCTTTCAGACACTGGAAGCTGCTCTGAGGTCTCCACGCAACCTTCTCTTCTCCAGGCTGAACAGCCCCAACTTCCTCAGCCTGTCTTCATACGGGAGGTGCTCCAGTCCCCGATCATCCTCGTGGCCTCCTCTGGACTTGTTCCATGTTCTTTTTATGTTGAGGACACCAGAACTGCACACAATGCTCCAGGTGAGGTCTCACAAGAGCAGAGTAGAGGGGCAGGATCACCTCCTTCGACCTGCTGGTCACGCTCCTTTTGATGCAGCCCAGGATACGGCTGCTTTCTGGGCTGCAAGCGCACACCGAAGCTGGCTCATGTTCATTTTCTCATCCACCAACACCCCCGAGTCCTTCTCTGCAGGGCTGCTCTGAATCTCTTCTCTGCCCAACCTGCAGCTGTGCCTGGGATTGCTCCGACCCAGGTGTAGGACCTTGCACTTGGCATGGTTAAACTCCATGAGGTTGGCATCAGCCCACCTCACAAGCGTGTCGAGGTCCCTCTGGATGGCATTCCTTCCCTCCAGGGTATCAACCGAACCACACAGCTTGGTGTCATCGGCACACTTGCTGAGGGCGCACTCAATCCCACTGTCCATGTCAGCGACAAAGATGTTGAACAAGACCGGTCCCAACACCGATCCCTGAGGGACGCCACTCGTTACTGGTCTCCAGCCGGACATTGAGCCACTGACCACAACTCTTTGTGTGCGGCCATCCAGCCAGTTCTTTATCCACCGAGTGGTCCATCCATCAAATTGATGTCGCTCCAATTTAGAGACAAGGATGTCGTGTGGGACAGTGTCGAACGCTTTGCACAAGTCCAGGCAGATACATCAACTGCTCTACCCCTGTCCATCAGTTCTGTAGCCCCATCATAGAAGGCCACCAAATTGGTCAGGCAGGATTTCCCCTTAGTGAAGCCATGCTGGCTGTCACCAAGCACCTTGTTGTTTTTCATGTGCCTTAGCATGCCTTCCAGGAGAATCTGCTCCAAGATGTTGCCAGGCACAGAGGTGAGACTGAGTGGTCTGTAATTCCCCGGGTCACCCATCTTCCCCTTCTTGAAAATGGAGGTTATATTTCCCTTTTTCCAGTCGTCGGGAAGTTCACCTGACTGCCATGATTTCTCAAATACGATGGCCAGTGGCTTTGCAACTTCTAGATAAGCTAGAGGAACTTTAACTGTCACAAATACAGTCTTTTTCTCACCAATGAAACCTCAATAGCAGCCAAAGATCTACTCTGGAAAACAAATAGTACCAGGATAGTTAAGGTAAAAGCAGCAGGTGAGATTTTCAAGCACAAGAGACCAGCACAGAATTGTCCAGCACAAGAGTTAATCCTTATCTTGATTACATGCTATAGCACTTTAAGGATATCAGAGCTAATCTTACCTCTTCTCCATTACTTCTTGCAAATCTTGGAATTCCTGATGCTGCTTTAGCTCCTTCAGTTCATCAAAGCGCTTCAGTTGTTCACTGGCCAGGTCATACACTGCCCTCACCATCTGCTCTTGCTGCTCCTGCCGTTGCCTCAGCCCCTCCTGCAGATTGCAGAGGTGCCACAAGAACCACAGTAGGGTGATCACAGGAATTTAGACAGAAGAAAATACAAATTAAATTGGCCAAAGTCATTCAACATTTAGGATAACTTTAACCAGCGCATTGCTACACATGGTTATGTAGCTCTCCTGTGACTCATATACACCCTTTTCTTCTTTTACCTTTCCTTTCAGCCTGTGCATCTCCTCATACATCTGAATACAGCCTTCAACTTCTGTAACTTTAGATGGAAGAACTGCTCGGTAGAATTCTTGATCCACTTCCAGCAGATTGCGGTCATCACTTCCCTGTGTGGCCACCACAAGGCAAAATCAATGTTAGCAACTCCTGGAGGAAACCAAATCAAGTCTCCTAAACCGCACATTATTTGCAGAGAAACAGGCAGAGGAGTTAACCAGCGCACATTTAGGGTGGTTATATACCCCAGGAGCACAGCTGCACCACCTGGAGTGTCCTCCGTCATGTACACAAGGTTGGGATAAGTACTTTTCCCAATCATTAAAATTGGGAGTAGAGATATCAAAAGCCTATAGGACACTCAGGAAGACCAAGTGTCACCTAGCAGGCTTGACAGGCTCCCCATGTTCTGTTAACATTGAGTGAAGGTGTTAGACTACCAGAAGTCAAGACAGGTTTCTCTGAATCATTCTTCAGGAGGAGTCTTCAGACTCTCTTACAACTCTTATTAGATCTTGCAGCTTCATTAAAATGATTTCCTCACAGTATATTTCTTCAGTCTAAATGGGGCCAAGATGACGCAAAACCCTGCTGCTCAGTTTCATTGTTACGTGGTGAAGTCATCATTTAATGCATAGCAACAGATGCTTGTATTTGTTTCCTTTTCAGGTGCTTTATCAACTTCATTACCTCCACCACGCAACTGCTCATTCCCCAGCTTCCTACCCTATTGCCTTGTAAGAGAGCTGCAACACCTCTAAGTTATTTGGAGACTCCAGAGAACCCAAATGTATGAATCCCATGCTGCTAATCCATATAATTATACCGCTCCAACTAAATTTCCCTAATTACGATAAAAAAGAGAGTTTGCTTTGGCCTACTAGGAAACATTACTCTACGAAAATCGTGTTCATAACAATTTTATCATCAACTGTTAGCCTTAGTTGAAACTAAGCACATTTTCCCTCACAGATTTACAGAGCACCAACCAACCTTTACCAGGCAATTTATGGCAGCCACTTTGCTCACATACAGGTTATAATCAGAGCTACCTTTGTTTCACTTGGCGCTGTAGATGAAAGTGGTGAAAAGCCCTGTTTGCCAGCAGAGGTGATCTCCAGAGACGACTGTTTTGTGACAGGAGTGGCTTCTTCAGGTGTTGAACTTCCAGAGGGTGCCATTTCTTGGTCCGATTGCCCAGTCACTCTGTCTAGGACCCAGCCAGAATAAGGGGACAGCTCAAGAGGAGTTATGCATCCTTCCAAGATATCCTAGAGAGAAAACAGCTTCTGTGAAGGCAAAACTGTGAGGGTGCTGAGGCACTGGCACAGGGTGCCCAGAGAAGCTGTGGCTGCCCCATCCCTGGCAGTGTTCAAGGCCAGGTTGGACACAGGGGCTTGGAGCAAGCTGCTCTAGTGGAAGGTGTCCCTGCCCGTGGCAGGGGTTGGAGCTGGGTGAGCTTCCAACCTTCCAACCCAAACAAGTCTGTGAAACACATCAAGAAAGCAATGAAACATTAACACCGAACACATTTGCACAAGTCACCAGGTGCTTTATGACAGCTCACTACCATCCTTTACCCATCTCTCCTGCTGTCTCGTCAACACCTCTTCCAGGCTCCCTTAGTTTTGCAGGGCCGCCATGCTGGAACCTCCTCCCTGAAGCCCCCAAGGTTTAAACAGTGCAAGGGAGCCGGAACCCGACCTGCTGCAGGGGAGCAGAGGGGCCCGGCCCTGATATACCGAGCAGCACAGACCCCACAAGGGCGAGTTAACTGCTCCAAGCCCTCACAGGAAACCGAGAGATAACCCCTGGGCCGAGTCACGGATCCCCCCTCACACACCCACAGACCCTCTGTGGAGGCCCCCGCCGCCCGCCAGGAGCGGACCCTCACCTCATCCTGCAGCCAGTGCGGGCAGTACCTCAGCTGGCCCTTGCTGGAGGCGCGCAGGGCCGCCAGCGTGTCCCAGCGGAGCTGCCGCGGCTCCATAGCGACAACCGACTGCATGGCGGCCCCGGCCCGCGGCGCCCTTCTGCTTCCTCTCAGGAGCGGCACGTAACAGTGGCGGCTGCCCCCTGGCGGGCAGGCGGAGCCCCGCGCTCCGCGCCACGCCTAAAGACCCGAGTTCGAGTCCCGGGGAGGGCGCCTCCCAGGGGTCTGCGGTGGGGATGTTGTGTGGGGCACTGAGCCCACTTTGCCCTGCAGCATTCACAGCCTGGGTTACAGGGGAGGAAGAGGCCACCAACTATAAAACATGGAAAGGAGCCAGTTGCCTGCACCAACAGCCCTGGAATGTGTTTGTTTTCCCACAACACGGGGCCAGAAGACCCTAAATACAGCAGGATGAAGAGGAAATGGCCAACATTACCAATTCAAATGTAGTTTATTGCATGTCCTACCATAGCACCTTTAGGTTTTTTAAAGTGTTAAATACACACACAATTACAGAACTCTCAAAAAAATTATTAACTTAGGACAGCTTGATGGCAAATACTGCCTCATGAGCACAGCGCACATAAATAGGACTTAAAGGAGTTAAACATAGTTTTGAATTAGAACCATTTACTGGAAAGGACACCAGAGAGCACATGAATTTTAGGGATTCCATACATCGAAGACCTGATTTTTCAGGGGAAGATGCAGGCTAGGTTGATAAAGGAGTTGAGTATCCAAAGCTGCTCTTTAAGTGGCTTAAGAGCAAATCAGTATTTCATGCATACCCTGAACTCACATGGTATTCACATCACTGAAGTGCAACTGAGGTTAAACCACAATCTTTCTTTTGAAGTCAGATGTTTTTGGCTCAGTGCTGGGGATATTCAGGATCAGGAAATCAGGGCGAGAGGAGTAAAGCAACAGCAGCATCACACTCATCAAAAAAGGTGAGGCTCAGGGAGTAAAAAAAAACAAACCACAACCCAAATCATTATTTCTGGTACAAAACTGTTCACAAAAACTGTGGTTGTTCAGGAAATAATGTCATAGAAATGTAGAGCTCAGGCACTTCAGTTATTTTCAGCTTCACACTTCTGGTGGGTGGACCCTCTCCCACCATCCTGTCACCCAGTGCAGCAATACAATGTTCAATAGTTTTAAAAAAATATATAAACACCCCACCCCAACAACATAAAAACCCCACACGATCTCTTTGACAAATAGAAAAAGGAAGCGTGAAAAGGAAAGGAGCTGTTATAAACATTAACATGCTCAACAAACCGCTGACAGGTTTTAAGAGCTGAAACCATCAGGACTTTGCAGGATGAAAAGGACCTTCTCCATCATGTGCAAAAATATCTGGGTTTGGGGCACAGTTTATGGTGTGATGGCAACCTCACCTATTGCTGATATCCTACATTTAGGATATATGTCACCATCACTTTAGCATCTCATGCTGCAAGGAAAAGAGGAAAACGTCTCCTGACAGCAACCCTGAAATGCCAACCTACTTTCTAACATATGGCTTTGAAACAGGGCTCCTTTTGTGCTTAAAAGCAGAGGTGCAAGGAGAGCATTGCCCTCATGGAGAAGAACGAGAGTGGCTGAGGGAGCCCAGCAAGGCACTTTCTCCAAACACATTGGCATAAGAAGACTTGAGGAACTGGACATAGTTTTGCATGCTGCGGTTGGTGCTCTCCGACTGCTCCAACCGATCCTTTAAATCCTGCAGATGGCTTTCATAGCGGTGCTCTGCCTGCATAAAGAAGCACAAAACACAGGCTGAAAGACAGCAACATTCATCCCATTCCTGTTAAAACTGAAGTTGTTCCCCTAAAGTGCTGAAGACAGCAAGAATGAATACAGCAGTGGATGACATTACCATAGATGGTGCTATGATATTTATAACCCGTTTTGCTCATTTCCAACTCCACTCAGCACCCACTGATCAAACCAGGAGACAATGTGGCTGATCAGCTGAGCTTTTAAAACTGATTAGCTATAGTTATGAGGAATTAAACACACTCTGCTCTGAAAAGCTGCTTGACCTGATCTATATGCCAACCCAATTCCAAGTAAAACTCAAGCAGCAGAAGAAATAGGACATGATGAAAGATTCCCCTTCTTTCCTCTAAATTGCATTCTCTCTCAGAAAACCAGGCAGAGTAAATGAAGTTGATATCTGCTCATGACAGCTGATGCAAATCTTATTTGAATACAAAGGCCTGATTCTTTTCTTACAATCAATCACATAAGTTTGGAGCAAGTTCATGCAGATCATTGCTATAAGTAAATTAGAGTCCCCACTCTTGAATCAGTGACCTAACAGACATGCCATGCTACACATCTGGCAAGGTCACATACAACAGCATGTCATATTCAGACACAGCTCTGCGTGACCAGCAGTATACCCATAGAACTTTGGTTTACAGACTCCAGTTGCTGCCCAGGACACCACCAGCACAGCAACAGTATCCACTGCAGCTCACTCACATCATCTTTGCTCCGACGCAATTGGTTCATTTCCGTTTTATTCCTACTCAGCTGGGTCTCCAAATCCAACATCTTGGACTGGGCCGCCCTCTCTCTCGCCATTGCTCGTTCTCGGGTTTGTTCCACCTGCACGTACCAACAGAACAACTCTGTTAAAGGACTGTCTATTGCAGAACCATTTCTCCTACCCCATTGCCCACAAAAGCCCAAGAAAGTTTAACTGGACACGTCCTCATTCATAAGCAGCAGTCTTGTGCTTTCAGCTTTTGGTTGCAAACTGGAGCACAGAGTTCAGGTTTTTCAATGGTTTAACTGGTGACAAACAATACCAGCACATTTTATTATCTGTATTTCACTGAACATGATGATTTTAATGATTTTGGTCATAGGCTGAGGAGTATTTCCAGCATCGTCGCTCCTCTCCTATTACAGGCTGGGCAGTTTTGGGAGAATTCACAAACACAAGAAGTTTCTTACTTGTCTTTTGGCATCCTCAATGGCCATCTCCAGCTGACGTGCCAAGGAGCTACACTCCCGGGTCTTCTCATCTAGCCGCAGCTGGCACTGGTGGATCGACTCCTCCCGTTTTGCTATGACCTGAAGGAATTCTATGTTCTGGGCACTCGTTGACTCTAGTTTTCTAGGTTAAGACAATAACGTAAGGAAACCTATTCATTTTAAATGGAGTGTGTTCTAGTCTGCCTTTTTGTCAGATCCTGGCTAGTCTGGGAATAGATTCCATTGCTCCTTGAAAGAGGAGAGCCCCAAGAAAATTCTTCATTTCTCAAATACAGGATTCCAAAGACTAAAGGACAGAGAAAGTACCCACATACTTGCATTTCCCCCACACATTGTCTCTAAAAGGAATTAATAAATACAGGTAAAATTACTGGAACATGTAGTAACCTCAAAATTGTCAGGCTAAAACGGGCAAGGAACTGGTTTACGTGCTGTGTAAAACATCATCCTTTCTAACAAAACATTCACAACATGTGCTGCAAAAACATACAACTCTCCAGTGGACAACTATTGATTCGAGATCCTTCTGGGATAAAGAAACACAGAATCCAGGGGGCACATAAGGGACTGGAACAAGACTGAACCTGTTCAATCCCCTGAAAGAAAACAATGGGAAGAGGATAGAAATGGAAGGTTAAGAGAGCAAGAAAGCCTAATATTTCTAACCTTTCTAGCTCTTCCACCTTCAAGGTGAGCTGCTTTTTGTCCTCCTGGGCAGAATGACACCTCTCCCGTGTCATCTCCATTTTGTCCCCCTGGAGCTCAATCTAAAAATTACAGTGAGTAATTACTTCACAGAGTAGTCACTACACACCCAGGACCAACCACCTAAACTACATGCAGCCTGTCAGAAGGAAACATGCTCAATTCAGAATTTCTGGAGAATGCCAGAAAAGGAAGAGCAGAGAGAAAAGCAAAGCACTAAACATCCATTTTGCTGGTGCTTCCAGCTAATGTTTGGAAAGGTATGAGAAAGTTCTTCCATGTTGCAAATGAAAAGCCAGGTCTGTGAACACTTGCATGCAGAGCAGCCGCTGTAAGCACAGCAAAGCACACACATTAAAAGCAGCCATATACATGACAGCAGCCCACAAAGGCATTAGAGCCTGAAATACCAGGAAGGTTATAATTCCAAGCTAATCAGAGTAAAGCAGTTACACTGTGAGATCATTTGCTGAGTCTTGAGGCATGGCTGTAAAAGTCATGCCTGTTGTAATTGTCCTGCAATACCTAGAGAGTCCTCCTGGGGACAAAAAACAGGGATAGGGAAAAACACCTGAAATCAGTTGAGAAAGCAAGGCTGGGGTAGCACTATCAGCAGAAAAACACAAAAGGGAAAGCTGACAAGGTGATGGAAGTAACAGAAGCCAGCGTTGGCATTAGCAAGTGTTGAAACTGCTGCTATTCAAGACGCACTAAGTGCAGACCAGGGAATGAGGAAGCTTTCAAGTCGTCAGGAATGCCACTAGCTACGCCGCTAACTTCTCGCACAAAGACATGGCACACACCTTTATTTTGCAGTGCACGTTTAATCTTTTCAGAAAGAGACGAGAACAGAGACGAAGACTGAACCTTCCTGCGACTGGAAATTCGTGTTGGTTTCAGACTTCTGGAAAGCAGAGATGCCGGTAATTTCTGCTATCCCTTACCTGCTGCTGAAGATCTGAAATCTGGACAGACAGGTCGACGTTCTTCCTCTCGGAATTCTGAAGTTGCTCTCTATATTCTGCTATTTGTGATTCTTTCATCTTTAGGATCTCAGGCAGCTTCTCCAGTTCAGCAAGCCTGCTCTGCAGCTGCTTGTATGACTGTAATCAAAGGAGACAAAGAGAACGTGAGGAATCTTCAAATGTTCATAAGGTCCAGACTAAAAACATTTCTCAACTTCAATGAAGCTTTGTTGGAATGTGACCGTGGTGATAACGTGTGGGTATCTGGCCAGTGTTGGAGTTCAAAGCCTAAGGTCTTCTACTCCAAAAGGCTTTCTCTTAGGATTTGGCATTGCCTATGGACGGAGTGAGAACGAGTATTTTGGATCGTGGGCTTCTATTTTACTAGAAGTACAAGCTCTTTTTTTGAGGAGAGCTGCTCTACATCAGACGATGTGTGACCTAGTCAGCCCATTGTTCTAAACCACATTTTCTGCAGCAAAGGACATAGGAAGCAATTTAAACACCTCTGAAGAACACCATATAGCCAAGAAGCAGCTGCTAAATGTTCAACACATTTTGCAGAATGAACAAGTCCTGAGAAAAACTAATGGAAAAGGCAAATTCAAGCCTTTTATTTCCTCTTCACAGCCATTTTTCACTACATTCAGAACATTAAGATCCATGAATGTATCAGTCTTTGGAGGAATAGTTACCAGATCCATCTGGTTATTCTTTTCTTCCTTTAGTGCCTTGTTCTCTTTACCAAACTTCTCCAGTTTTGCTGCTGCATCTTCTGCTTCCATTTGGGTCCTTAATATCTGGACATCAAAAAAAAAATATCCCACATACTTTATCTGTCATATATATGCTCAAGGATCAGCAACAAGTTTCTTACCACACCAGCCACCACCCCAGAACTCTATCTGGAAGTTCACTTTCTGCTACCTGGATAATCTGGGCTTTCTACCAAATGTTTTCCCCTTTTGCCTTATCTTCCTACAGTCACAATATCCAAAATCCCTCCAAAAAAGCAGCCAAGGAACACTGCTTGCCACACTAAGAGGCAGAAATAAAGCATCTAACTATTTTTCTTTACCTTTTGAAAAAGAGCGCAGGAAAGTGAAATATTAAAACCATTCTTTTGTTTTTCATTAATCAAGATCTCTGTTATGGGAGTCAGCTCTTCCTAATGACCAAGTCATCAGCACATAGTGAGGAAGGCAAATCTTGCACACTTTGACATACAGCACATGGCAGTCTGCATGCTGCCAGCTGAGAAAAAGTCAGGCTAATAGAGACAAAGCAACCAAAACCATATCAAACTGCAACACCTCCAAGGTGTTATAAACGACAACAGTAAAGGGAGGAAACATGTCATTGCAAGGGCTGCTGGTTTTGGTAAGATGCCTACCTGTGATTTGTAGTTTTCAATCATCCCTTCGTAGTTTTTGACAGAGATTCTCAGCTGCTGCACTTCAGCCTGTGCTTGCTTCAGCTTTTCCTCCATTGGGGCCACACTAGCCTGAAAATAGAACAGATTTGGAAGTAACTATCACACTAAGCTGTCTAATGTCTAGACTAAGAAAAAAGGCTTTTGTCAAGTGTAAGTCGGCAAAACTTTCCAGGCTTCAGTAGATTGCCAAATTCACATCAAGAGAGCAGAGAGGTTTGGGATGGACGTGCAGTCTTTCCATTTGCCTGAATGAGCTGTGCTACTTGGATTAGGGCTACTCCTTATTTGGATCAGTGCCTGGCTTTCCAAGAAGAAAATGATGTAGGTTACCTACAAGATCACCAGTGGTAAGAGAAGACAGAAGAAATATACCAGCCACTTTTTGTTTTATTCTGGAAATCACCATTCTCCCTGCATGAGCTACAGTTGGTTGTTCTCTGGCCAGCAGTATGAAGATATAAAGACAAGATGTAAGAATCCAGCTGGAGGAAGCAGTACTTGAGTTGGAGATCCTCCAAACCAAAACATGGAAGAAACCCAGTCCTCACAGAATGTACATTTCCTTTATGTCTCTTCCCAGCACACTTGTCCTGTCACACTCAGGTTATGGAGAAACTGGTTTGAAAGTCAACGGGAGCGATGGGTGCAATTGAACTCTGTCATCAGAAGCCAAGCAACTTGTTGTAATGTCTTTCTTTTTTCCCCCCTAGCATTTCAGCTTCAAACCCCTAGAATCACTGACCTTTAGTCTTTCATTCTCCATTTTTAAATTGGAGGTCTCTGAACTCTGTCGATGCACTTTATCCAGCACCACATCTCTGACGTCCCGTACCTTGTCCTCCCGAGTTGCCTGCTCTTCCAGCAAGTCTGCAAGACGACTGCCATACAGAAAGAAAATCAATCCTTAAGTGGCAAGAAAAAATAAGGCTCCCAACCTTTAAACATTAGCTTCAGAAGCGAGGCTTTTTCCTATCCTTTCATCTTCCTCCTCCATATATGCACACCTATCTTCTATACTGTTCTACTACCTCAATATTAGCTTGCTGGAAATTAACTTGAGTTGTCTTCTTGGAGCTCAAATGCATTGCCTTCGAGATACACAGGGTGAAGAGGTACCTTTCTCTTGTCTCATAACTACCTCTTTTTTCCTGCAACAACAACTGTACTGCAGTAATAACACTACATTTATTGACCTTTGCAACAAAATAGACAGGAGCTACACTGCCTCTCTAATACCTTCAAGTTTCTCAAACAGATCTCAAAAGAAAAATAACCTTAATTCTTTCAAAGCATTACAAAATTGCAAAGGAACGGGGTTTTAAGGGTCAGCAAACCCTTAAAAAGTCTGCCTTTGCTGTGGCAAGTCAGCAGAAGAAGCCACATTGCTCTCTTGCTCTCTCTCTTCCCAAACTCTGCTCTAGCCCTTAGGCAATACTGGTTTTGCTTGGCTATTTACAGTCAATCCAACAAAATCATTTAATTTAATGGTATTATTCAATTCAGTTAAATTATCCCTGAACTTAGAACACATTCAGGCTTGTTACTCTACACTAGTTTTATTTTAACCTGGTCAGTGTAACAATCTCCAGTTCGAGGTCACTCTTGTCCTTTACTGCTCTATGGTGGCGGTTCCTCCAGGTCTCCAGACTAGACAGCGCCTCAGCAACATACCCATCCTATCAACCAAAAGAAATACAGGGAGAAAAGAGCAAGGGTGACATATGCGATATGCAGATAATATAAGGCATGGCTAAGATGCTACTAGTGGCTCTTGTCCCTGGGATTCAAAATACAAGGGATAGATAAAAAAATAATCAAGTAGTGTAAAATCCATGTTCCCTTCTGGTTTGTCCCAGTCCTAAACTTTCCTACTTTTCCTTGATATCCTTTAGTCATTTTTCCAGTAGGAAATTCCACTATGCCTCTAAGGCTTTTTAATTTCCTGCTCTAACTCCATTCAGAGTTTTCAGTCAAAATAGCAAGGCTTTATTTTACTGTTTTTTTTCAACCTTCAGATAGTTCTAAAGAACCACATGAAAAATCAGATCTGCTAGCTTAGTATTATCTAAGTTATGGCAAGTCCTACATTAAGGACATGCAGCAAATACAATGACAGCTGAGAAAACTGGTTTTGTTCTAAACTTAGCATAAATGGGCCAAGGCATCAAGACAGAAATAAATCTCATTAGTTGAAAGCAGAGACTCTCCCCAGGGCTGCTACCAGAAGTCAAAGGCTTAGATGCATGATTTGAAATGAGGTCTCTTCTCCTGTATTATCAGGTACCTTTTCTGTTAGCTGGGCAGTCAGTTGCTCTACATACTCTTCACTTCGCTCTGCACGCTCTTTCTGTGCACGGAGGGCTTTCTTCAGGGCCTCTTTGTCACTATCTGCCTTCTGCTTTACTTCTTTCAGCTGTTTCACGATACGTTCCACCTCTGCCTTATGCTGAGCTTCACCGCGCTCCAGATTCTGCAAGAGGGAAGAAAATACACCATATGGAATAATGCCCTTACATCTGCATACCCAAAGCAGCAACTCATTTCCTAGAACTGGTGGAGAGAGCTGGTTATAACCCCCCCAACTTTCAGGCTGGAGGTTCTTGCAATCAGGTTTCACCTACACAGTCCTGTCCTAATATTGAAAGACATGTCAGCATGACAGATCTGGCTTTCCTTCCAAGAGTCTTCCTTTTTTCTTTCATAACCTGCTCTTTAGAACACTTATTTCCTTTCCTGACCAAGATAAATACTGGTTTACCATTCTTTTGATCTACCCAAGAACATTGTCTTTATTAACGGGATTGCTCACATATATTAATGTTGCTTTATGCAGCTATATACCTTAAAGCTCCTCTAAACTATTACCACACATGTTCATCCTAACATCATCACAACATCAACAGATACGTTAAACATAAACCTTTGAGCAAAATATTGCTTCCCTTGAAGTCAATTCAGTTTATGAGTAAATGAAGAGATGATCCCCAGGGACCACTGCAAACATACCCGTAGCTGTACAGTCAGGCGGTTGTTCTCCGCTTCTTTGCCTCGCAACTGTGCTTGTAAATGGGCTTTCACAGCCTCCATAGATTTGGAGAGCTCCTCTGCTGCCTTTGCCTGGTCCTAAGTAAGGAGCAACAAGACACAGACCTTTTTCCTCAACAAGCTAATAGAAGGAACACTTCATAAAACCCAACAGTCTCAGATTTATTCACTGAAGGGTCTCCAGCCATCTCCTCTTTCCTCAGATGGACCCTCATGGCTCTTCTACTCCAACAAAATGGGGAACAAATAAGTAGCCATTAATTTTAAATCAGATGTGAATGACTGGCCTGAACGATTTATTCTAGGGCAAAACATCCTTCATGTGGCATCTCTTCCACTACATTTCCCTTTAAATTACTAAACAGAGGCACAGGCTGGAATTTGACATCAGGAACCAACAGGACCTTAAACAGAAAGGCAACTCAGTGATAAGCCCAAGCAAAGAGAATACTACCTACTCATCCTTGTGACAGATGTCTTATTAGCACAATATGGAATCCACAACTATGTAGAAATTGGTTTTGTAACTAAGCCAGTCATCTGAACTCTTAAAAAGTAATTTTCTGCAAATCCAAATTCATAGCCTGGACTATCTGTAGTTCTGCAGAACTCAAAGGTGGAATAGGGAGGAGAAAATGGAAAAGGAAACTACCTTTCCTGCCTGTATGTCATTGGCAAGACTCTCCATTTCTTTTTCTTTCTCCTGAAGCTTCATCTGAAGTTGCTGGGAAAACAAACACCACTTAGATGTTAAGTAACAAACACATTTAGGTTGGCAAGGTGGAGGAAAAGAGGTGTAACTGTCTCCCTCCCTCGCAGCTCTGATTCATGGCACTCTCTGGTATCCACAGCAACTGAAAAACAGGTGGCATTCTCCTCAAACAGAAAGCAGAAGGGGTACAAGCACTTGTGTAACAGGGCATAATGTACTCAGTCAAGAACAAGGACCTGACAGGATCGTATACCCCACAGATAAAAAAACAGGGCATTACCCGTCTCACAGCAAGTTTTATAACTTCATGCAATGTAAGAGCTCTTTTCTCAGTTTACAGATAAGGAAATGAACCAAAACTGGCACCAGATCACTCATTCAGTGACAGCAACAGATACAGAAAGCTTCCCCACTTTGTGCTTGTCACAAAATCACAGAATCATTTAGGTTGGAGAAGACCTTTAAGATCAGAGAATGTGGTAAGCAAACCACAAGCTCTTTGTTTTTAAGACCCTAGCCATTAAACCAGCACTGCCAAGTCAGCCACTAAACCGTGGCCCTAAGGGGCACATCTACACATCTTTTAAATGTCTCCAGGGACGTGACACCGCCACTTCCCTGGGCAACATGTTCTAATGCTTGACAACCCTTCTGGTGAAGAAATTTTCCTAATATCCCATCTAAATCTCCCCTGGTGCAGCTTGAGGCCATTCCCTCTTGGGTACAGGCAAAAGATGACCATTTCCCCTTAGATTATGAGGCTTCACTCTGCTGCTCATCCCTGTCTTCCAGCTCAGAGGGATGGGTACCCTGAGGACTGGTCTTACTATTAAAGACTGAGGCAAAGAAGGCATTAAGTTCCTCAGCCTTTTCCTCATCCTCTGTCACTAGGTTTCCCCCTGCATCCAATAAAGGATGGAGATTCTCCTTAGCTTTCCTTTTGTTGCTTATGTATTTATAGAAACATTTTTTATTGCTTTTTATGGCAGTTCCAGATTAAGTTCTAGTTGGGCTTTGGCCATTCTAACTTTCTCACTCAACCCTTTCATCACTATCATTAAGCTCTAGACAATCAAAATACACAGATCTACCCCACCACCTCTTCTTCCTTGCCTATCTCTTCTAAGGAGTTACAGCCATCCATTGCAGCACTCCAGTTGTCCATGCTTCTGTGATGACAACTGTGTCTTAGTTTTCCTGCTGCACAATGACTTCCAGCTCCTCCTGTGTGTTGCCCACGCATTGGTGTAGACACACTTCAGCTGGACTACTGATCATGCTGCCTTTTTGGGGGTAGAAGCCCTAATTCCTACATGACCATTCTCAGGCTCGTGGTTTCTAACACAAACTCTTGTGTCTTTGCTGCCACATATATCTCCATCCCCTACCTCCTCTGAGATGGCAGAGCAAAGGACCTCGCTAGCACACTGCTCCTCAAACATTGGTTTTACCCCTTTCCCCTTCAAATCTAGTTTAATGCTCTTTCAATGAGCCCTGCTAACTCCCATGCAAAGATCCTTTTTCCTCTTTGAGACAGGCCTGTTGCCAGCAGGCCTGGTGTCTTGTGAACCAACCCATGATCCACATCCCCAAAATTCTGCTGGTGACACCAGGCTCTGAGCCAGGTATTGATCTGTTGCCTATCTCTGAAGATAACATGATCACCATATAGAAAAAAGAAGATAATTTCCAAACTGAAAAATCCTATCCTGAGCATCAGGGGCATTTATTTCTGCAGTAGGTATTTTTTCCTCTCCCACCCCCAGAGTTTCCTTGTTAAAGAAACATGTAGTATAATTGTTGCTTTGTACATTCAGTACTATAAGAGAAGGTAAGCAAAAACATAGAATCATAGACCGGCTTGGGTTGGAAAGGACCTTATGATGATCCAGTTCCAACCCCCTGCCATGAGCAGGGACGCCTCATACTAGACCGTGTTGCCCAAGCCTCTGTCCAACCCAACTTTGAACACTGCCAGGGATGGAACATTTACCACTTCCTTGGGCAACCTGTTTCAGTGGCTCACCACCCTCACAATCATGTGTCTTAAACATAAGGACAAGCTTAAGTTCTTTTATATAGCGTGAATACTGTAAATCCTAATAGTGCTCTTCATGAAGATCTCACCTATGTTATCCCTGTTCTAAGCCCATATACTTCAATGGCTATGAAAGAAAAAGCAAAACAAAAACTCCAAAACCAAACAGCTTGTGGTTTGCTTACCACATTCTCTGCATCTGAGTCAGCCAGCCTTTTCAGAAGGATTTTTTGCTGCACCATTAACTTCCGAGCATCCTTCTATGAAGGAAATACATAAGTATTATGTATTACTAACTAAATTACTAACTAAAAAGTCAGTTACAGACAGTTAGTTTAAACAGAACTGGGCAAGTCAACCATTTGTTCCCAGTTGTAGCAGCAATTCTCAGAAGATATCCAGAAGCACCAAATAAAATATAATAAATATAAAATGTAAACTACAGAAAGAATAGCAAATTCACTTCTGTATTTCTCTTACAGGCAATATAGAATTGTTCTGTAAAAGCAGGACAGAATTGTTTACAGTCTCTCTGTTACTGCTCTTAGAGCCTACAAAAATAAGGGTCTGAATATCCTTAGGCTCCCATTAGCTAAGGTCACATCTAGTCCTCAGATGTCAGCCAATGCAACTGTAGCAGTTACATTTCACACCAGCACAAGCAGCTGTATCCAGAAGAGAGAGTTGGCAACACAGTAGTGCCTATACCTTTTAATATAGTCACTTGGATGCTCTAAAATCCTCACAGCAGAAAAGTCAGTCTTATTCTATGAAGTAGGTAGGGATAAAACCCAACAAAAACATGAAAAGTCCTACCCATCCTTTATGACACAGGGACAGCAGCAGGGCTGGGAAAAAGCATTCAAAGGTCTCAAAATGCATCTCAGCCCACAAGATGACACAGCCTCCTGTCCTCTGCCAAGTTCAAGCACACAGCATTGCTCACCTCCTTGTTGTGCTGCTCTTTGAGAAGCTGTCGTAAGGTCTGGTTGGTTTCTTCAAAGGTGGTCAATTTCTGGAGCAGAAGTTCTTTTTGCCTTGTCAGTGTGTTAATGTCTGAGCTGCTCATGTGCTTCTCCTAGAGAACAGTAAAAAAAGGGAAAAGAATTATTCACATGGAATGCGTAAAGCTGATACAAGCACGAGCAGTGCAATAGTGAGCACCATGTGCAGAAGGTGACTGGATGCTGCAAGTAAATACCCCACTTCCAAACAAAACTAACAAATGCCTCCACTTTCCCAGAGAAACAATTGTTACATTACATTTTTAAGACAGCCACATAACAGGACAATATAGCAAAGATAAGAACAAAACCAGACAACACCTACAGTGTTGAGTCTCCCAATTGTATTTTCCAGGGCACGGATCTGCCTGGCTGCTGCTGATGCATCCCTTTCTGCCTCACTCAGCTTGGACATCAAACACTCCTTCTCATGCTGCAGGTACTTCTTCTCTAGCCTGTAATGAGAATTCAAGCATCAGAGAAACAAGATGCTTTGACAACTCTACCAGCCACTATTGATATACAGTTGATTGGATTAAGAAACACCCCATAATTCAGTCCTCTCAGGGGTGTAGCCTCTAGTTTTCAGTTTCATGTTTACTCATTTGTTGTTTTACCAATATCATCACAATTCAAACAGCATCTCTTAACCTTCAAAATATAAATTGCAGAGCTAGGATGACCCTCCTGTAGGCCACACAAGCCAACTGCTCTCAGGTTCCTCTCAAGAGTAGTTTTTTTTTTCCAATATCATCCTATAACCCTTCTCTGCAGCTATTGCCATTGAAGTTCCCCTTCTAAAAGGTGACAAAAAGAACATGAGTTCTTAAGCAGCACTGCAACCCAGCATACAAACTACAACCTTAAATAATGTTAGCAGTAAAGGAGGTATTGCCCTGTAAATACCACTACTTGGAGTAACAATAGAGAACACAGCTGTCTTACATAGTCAGGTCTTTCTCTTCCCTTATGCGCTCCATACTGCGTCTGAGCAGCGTATTCTCATGCTCTGTTTCTACCAGCTCTTGTGTGACTTCATTTAGTTGCTCTTTCTGCTCCTCCAGGAGACGCTCTGTCAGTTGCTTGTGTTCCTCCTTTTCCTGCAGCTTGGCCTGATGAAAATATTTAAATAGGACATAAGACAAACTAGGTGCTTTTATAGTGATACACAGAGCCACATCTCAAACCACTGAACCAGCTACTGAGCTGCAAACAGAGGATCAGGCTTTTTCTTGCATTTTTTTCCTTCCTCCCACTCACCTTCCCCCTAGATATTTCCAGGTTGCTCGGATGCACAAAGAGCATAATTCAGCTATTGCCTTGAAGTACCTCCCATCCCACAAACACACGGAGATGCAAGCGTCCTGGTTTTAAGTCATATACCAAAAACTTGTCATCAGCCACAAGACATGTGAAAGGCCTCCAACATGGCAGGAAAGGAGCTCTGGTGGCAGTTCACACACTGGAAATGGCTCCAGTTGTTCCACTATTGCTTTGGGAGATCCATGGAACTGGGTGAAATCAACCTAACAGTCCCTAGCATTATGTTTCCATCTACCTGTTCCGTAGCAGCATAGTGTCACTGCTGGTAGTGTGACAAGTTGTGTACATAATACTTGAAGGCTGAATGGGGCTCAGAAGTTGGTTACTGCTCCCCATGAATGACACATGTACCCCATTTGGCAGTTAAGAGTGCTACAGACAGTGAAGATGTGAAAGAAGAAAGAACATAGAGGGGGCTTGAACCACTTCACCAGGCTTGGATTTTCTTTTTGCAGCAAAAAGTCACCAGAGATTCCCTGGCTTGCACAAAAATCAAAGCTAACAAAATTAATGTGATCTTACATCATGGATTTAAGTGACACCACAAACATTTAGATTCAATTAACTTATTAAAAGTATCAAAGTGGACTTTTATTTTACAGTCATGTAAGTAACTCCATTAAATTTTGTAGCATAAATAAAATGGAGAACGCTTAATGCAAGAATCTATTTGACTCAAATCCTATTCTTTTACATGGATTTGAACATCATAGTTTTAAGTAAAATAATATTACTTAAGATGTGTTACCCTCAGTGTTAACTCAAAGTTAAAAACACAGTTTGCCCCCACCATCATGCATCTGGGAACATCTCCTACCCACTTTTTAAGTGGTGTCAAATACATAAGATGTTACTTATCTGGAAAACACATCAGTGGGTTGCACATTTTTAAAGGGAATGAGAAGAAACAATCATGTTAAGTGGATTATTTGACACTGAAACAGCAACATACTGTATTTTTCACCTTTGGGAATAACCAGTTTTCAGACTTTGGGCTTGGGTAGAAGAAAGATTATTTGGAAACTGAAGCACAGCGACACCTTATTAAGCGGATAAGGTTTTACAATGTTTTATAGTAGGGCTTATTGAATTTCTCAGTAGGATAGTTCAGCTTTTCTAAACAACTTTAAACAAGCTACCAATGGCCTGGGTACTCTTCTATTGCACCAAGACTTGACCTCAGCTTCCTCCATCTCCTCACCTCCTTCATCATTCCCACTGCATTTATGAGGCTATCTATCTTCTTCTCATATTCATTCATTCTGCAGCAAACAACATCCTCCTCATCTGCAGAGAGGTCGCTCAGGTGCAACATTGATGGCATTTTGTCTGAATCTGGAGGTGCAACTTCTAGGCGGTGAGCTGGTCCCTGGTAGAAAATACCAGAAAGTCATAAACAGGATCCTAACCACAGCTCTGCCAGACACAGAGACCAGGTTGTATCACTGCAATAAGGCTGGTAGAGAAAACCAACTTGTAAACGTTCTTTCATTTCCATCAGGGAAAGGTCAAGAATGCACAAAAACTTGAACAGAAAAAGTAATGGAAGTTCAAGTTCTCATCTAGGAAAAGCCAGGAATACAAAAGGAAAAACTATCAACCCACAAGAAAGAAAATACACTACACAAATACTCCATGCTTTGGAAGAGACTAAGAACAGCAGCACTTCACTGTGCCTCTAGATGAGATCTTGAAGGGGACTACTAAAGCTACAATAAGCAAAGAAATTTCTCTGGCTTCTAAAGGCAGAAAGGCATGATATAGGCATAGACTAATAATTAATTTCCTATTTTTCTGTATTAAAAAGTGAAAAAGATTTATAGAAGACCCAATGGGTGGTAGGTAACAGTAGCATTCTTTCAGATCAGCCCAGCTCCCTCACTACAACATCAACTCTCTTCAACTTTAGACAGACCTTTAAAAGTTTTAAGGTTTTAAAGAGCAAACTCAGCCATACCTCCCATTTGCAGGTGGCCTCCCGGACAGATGTTTTGCCTGGGGGTACCCAGGGGGCTTTCGTTTTCACTCGGACACTTCGACACACGTTCACAGTATCCCCCTTCGCTTTCTGCTTCTGCTTTTGCTGAAAGAAAAGAGAAGATAAAATAAATCACAGACTTTTAAAGAACCATTTACAATTTTTAGTGATGCAAAGCCAAATAAAAGATGATTCATACAAAAATATCACAGTGTTATGCACGATACGTCACATAAGACTGGCCAGCAGCCATCAGAGGAGGCTAACACCAGCCTGGAGGAAAGGTTATTGCACATTCAGCTGACAGTGTATTCTTGTCTATCATGAAGAAGCTCTGTGATCCCTGGGATACCAGCACCTGTGATGTGATGAGAGCCTTACCCAGCAGGTCAGGGTGGGAGACTTGGGAGGGAAGAAAGTCTTCTCTGTATGGAGATGCACAAGAAAATATCACAATGCAACCCATTCATGTGAAGAAGGAACAACCTGAGAGATCCCTTCTCCATTCCAAGTTTGTCTCACAAAAGAGCAGATATATCACATGAGAACAGTACTATCAGAGAAAATTAAGAACAGGGCACTGTGATTGGTCCCGAAAAGCTTCTGAAGTGTTTTTGATGCTTTGTAGTCAACTAATAGATAGACATTTATTTCTATTGAACTCAAAGTGCTCTGACTGAAGGGAAGTTCAAGTGGCCTTGCACAATTCTGACCTTCAGAGAAAAATCTGATGTTCTAAATATCCCCTACAGGCAATTAATTAGTAAGAATCATTGATGTCACTGTCAGGCCCTACCCCACTATGATATGCACCATTAGCAACAAACACAAAATTAACAGAGGACTTAGAACAGGATGGCTGCACCTAAGGAAGAATGAGCATCACCTTTACATAAACATCCAACTGCGAAAGAGGACAGGTGACAGCTTGAAACTCATCTTCAGTCTTGCCTTCAGCCTGCTGTGGGTAAGGCTATGTAGAGATTTTCTTTGCTGCATAGAGCAGCAGACCGAGAAGGTGCTTAATGCCAGAAGATGGTTTGAATCCACACCCTTCTCCCTAAGCACAGTCATTTTAATGCAATCAAGATGGTATCTGAAACAGCTAAATATGACCTTTCCCCAAACCTTTCCTACAAAAATAAGGATGAAGCCAAAGGAAAATCATTATCAAGACACAAATCCAGGAAATAAAAGGAAAAAAAAAAATCCCCCAAACTATATCACATTGGAAGCAACGCCCCTCACAAACATACATGTGAACATGAAAAATACATATCCTAGATCAGACTCAAATCACCTTAAACATAGAAAACACATCACTGAAAATTCACCACTGAACACACACTCAAGTCTTACACTTAAAACACAACAGTAAAACAGACCTTGAAGATGGTGTGGTGCTTGTAAGACCATTCACCTTCCTCTTTGTAACCCTTACAAACACGTGGCTACACACTCCTACCTGGCATTGTGCAGGTGTGGTTTTCTGACCCTTTTTAATATGGACATGGACAGGGGTGTTTTCATCCACATGGACGTGCAAAGGGGGAGAGGAGGAACGGTTCTTCATGGCTCTTCTCCCACAAACGGGAAAGGGCAAGACAATGAAAGGAAACCTGTGGATAAGGAAACTGGAAATAACAACATTTCCCTCTGTGCCAGAAAGCAACAGTGGCCAGCCTTGGTTAAAGTTTGAGCATCTGCCATTTTGAACTGCACACTATTTCGCTGCAAAGCTGGGATTAATACAAGTAATTTCTCTGCTGCTGGTATTTTCTGCTTTGAACATTGCTATTAAGGAGCAAATACAGTTGGATTGGTAGCAGGTGTCTGTAAGAGTCATTAGAGTTCAAAGTCTTTGAGCACGCAAGCAAATCAAGGTTCCAATAACCAGCACCATCTGATTATGAAGAGAAATTTGAAGGGAGAAGAGAAGCGTTCTTTTAACAGTTTGCTTACAGAAAAATCAACAAGAGACCATCAGATCCTTCCATCCTAGAACCCTGACCCTGTAAACTCTTTCATGCAAGCTTTAAGTGTCTTCTGAAGCTAAACAAATGCTTAAAAGCTTTTGGATCACAGTATTTAATCTTAAATCTCCAGAAAAAGAGCACAACCTCAACCAATACCCAACACAAGATGGAAAAGCCTAGAGATGCAAGATTAAAGCCTCTATCTTTGAGCTCGATGCTTTGGTTAAGGTAATGGTATGATGCAATTGCAAATCCTACAAAAGTCCACCAGCAGCGCTAACCTGATACTGGCAGAAAGGGTTTTTTGTAAGGTAAATTACTTACACTTATTCTAATGCTCTTGGCTCTTCTGGACAGTGCGTTCTGTGCAGAGACTGAAGTCATTTCATTGTTGATGGATGAGGGACACCTGATACAGAAATAATAAAATGACCACTAATAAGAAAAGGTGTCAAGTTATGAACATCCTCCTCTTTTCAATTTAAAGGTCAAACATATCAAGGATATGGACCCAAACAACAGCGGCTGCTGTGTCCTGGCTTCCGCTGACAAACATGGGATGAGGGAAGGACAGAGATTGTAATTCCTTACCATAGTGATAATGAAACGTGGCTTCAACAGTGGAAACGTTTTGAACAATTACTCTATGGCCTTGCTCAAACAGTTACAAACTTTCAAATTCTAACTGCAATTTTAAAGCAGTTTAATATGGGAACAGGTTTGAACAGTTCTAGGGCATGTGTACATTCCCTCCCAAACCCCACAGCCTCCCCAAATCCAGCCATCATCAATAAATTCTGCAAAACTGCACTGAAACATTGATGGTTTAGGTTTATACTGTTGTGCAGGCTGAAGAGATACATCTGCATTAGCACTCATGCTGAAGGAAACCCAGCACCACAAAGACTCAGTCAGCTACAGCACGAGCATCTTCCGGCTGGGAGGACTTGAAGACTTGAAGAAATGGGAGTGCAGGAGAAGGGATGTCCAAAGGACTAACGCTTGCTGGGGAGGGACAGAGTACAGCTATTGGAGTGGTGGTAAATCAGCCTTAGCTAGCTGACCTTACGTTAACACTCCTCCACGATGCTACAAGTCAAGTCACACTTCTTAATGTGGTAGAACAGAATTTTTACAACACTTCTGCCAGACTGGAACCGAGATCATTCTTTATAGCTCATTGCTTAATTTACCAGCTTGCTGCGATTCATGTAATAAACTACTCTAAATAAACCTATTACTACTGCATCTGGTTTTAAGCAGGATGCATTTAAAACAAAACACACCTGTACATCACATAAGAGTAATGAAGATTACAGAGGGGAAGAGAGATAGATCCCCAGCTTCTAGCTATGAACAACTCCAAACACCACTGGGCACTTTAATCTTGTTTTCAAGAGAAGGGTTAAACTCCCCCCAGGCCCTGCATGGGTTAATGCACTGAGAACTTGCAGAGCTTTCGAATCCCAGACTGGTTTGCATTAGAAAGGACCTTAAAACTCATCCAGTTCCAACCCCTGCCACGGGCAGGGACACCTTCCACCAGAGCAGCTTGCTCCAAGCCCCTGTGTCCAACCTGGCCTTGAACACTGCCAGGGATGGGGCAGCCACAGCTTCTCTGGGCACCCTGTGCCAGCGCCTCAGCACCCTCACAGGGGAGAACTTGCTAAGATCTAAGGACCACAAGTGGTACAGAAAAGCAGTCACCAGCTTTCGCTAACTGGGTTTATTTCAGAAGTTTAAGCAACTTTCCCTGCCATCTCCGGAGGCTCTTCCGACAATCTGTCTGCCTCAGGCGAGCAGGGCCCTATCCAGGGCTCAATCTCCCACCCCAACCAGGTCCAGCTCCCAGCTCAGGGCAGTGCTCTCCCCATAACGGGCTGAGAAGCCTGCAGGAGCGGCACCACCCCCGAGCAGCCCGTCCCAAAGCCCCCCTCGCTACAAAGCACGTTTTCCTGTATCTATTCAAAGACGCCCGTTGGTTCCCGTTTACCGCTGCGGCGGGAAGGACCCCCCCTGAGGCGGGGGTACCCCTCGCCACTGACAGAGCGGGCAAAAGGACGCTTCCCAGGTGCCCGCCCCATCGGTCCCTCACCATAAACGCCGCGCAGGGTCCGCTGCCGCCTCAGGAGGTGGTCGCCGGCTGCGAGGAGGCGGCGGGAGGCGCTGTTGCCATAGAAACCCCTCAGGCGGGCCGGGCCGGGCCGGGCGGAGCGAGCCCGCAGCAGGTGCCGCAGCACTTCCGGGTCCGCCAACGCGCCGCCGCTCCCGGCTCCCCCATTGGCAGATTCAAACCCTCCTCGTGACCAGCGCGACGCCGCGCACGTCACCACGCCCCGCCCCACAACGGGCCCCGTCGCCATAGAGACAAGAAGCGGCCCGAGGGGACGGGCTTAGGGCCGCTATCCTCCGCCGCCGCCGGGACCCACCGCGCTCCTCCAGGGCCAGCCCCTGGCGACGCGGCCCCTGGGCCCCGGCACTCGCCGCCCCCGAGGGTGGCCAAGCCATCACCGAAGGGCTCGGAGCAGGTTCATGCAGTTGTATTCAGACTGCATCACTCGCTGTTGTGTCGATACTGCGGGATGCAGGCCTCAGTACAAGGCAGCTCTAACAAGAACACAGCAAGTCACAGAGCAGCAACCCAGCTGGTTTTACTGTAAACATCATTTTTGTCTATGCCAGACCATAACTGGGTTTGTAACTAGTCTCACATTCAAATAAAAGTAAAAAATACAACAACCAACCCAACAAAAGCCCCAAAACCCACCCCTACGACCTTTGCTGTTACACCTCCTCCCCAGCAGGGCCCAGCTGTATTACAGACCAACTCCAGCTGCACTCAGAATGTCTCAACAAAGCAGCTTCCCCAAACCTGCCCTTTTTCCTGGGAAAACAGGACAGTACCAAGGCAAACCCCAAGGCTTGGGCTCTGTAAAGGAGCCTGAATCATCTCGCGCTAGGACAAACATCCCACCGCAGCTCAGGAGACTTGTACATTACCTGCTGAGCCAGCTCCTAAACCCACTGGTACAACAGCAAATCCTTTGCTACTCTCACACAGCACAAACACCTACATTGGCGGCTTGCTCCTAATCCTTCTTTTTTCCAGAAAAAGAATAAACTGATTTCCCCAAGTGATTCTAATCTTTTGAGCACCAGCTCTGCATCAGTGCTTGCTGCATAGGGTGTGCTTCCCAGGTACAGTAAGAACTCACAGATCCCAGAGGCACACATTAAAGCCAGCCTTTATCCTTGCAGACTGTACAGCATCAAGTACCAAAAGAACCGTTTACATGGAAGAGCGAAAGCAGCAGTGACTGTGTCACGGGAAGGATGCCTCTCCCAGCACCCTGGATTCCTCCAGTTCCCTCAGCACTGGGCTTACAAGATTCTGTTGCAGGAAAAATTGTCACTTAAATATAAGTATCCAGTGTCTCAATCAGGAAAACACTTCAGGTGAGCAGCAGAAGAGAGCCCAAAGCAAAAGCTGCTCAGACCCATCGCATCCACTGTGGATGTAACACTCACTAGCAGAGTCTTGCTTTTACAGTAGCCTGCTCCAAGAATGGCTCTCACCTAAAGGAAGCCTATTTGCTGCATTCTTCAGAGCTTCTCCTTTCCAGCAGCATTCATCTTGCCTGTTCCCCTCCTTCTAAACACCATGTTCAAGCATACACAGCTGGATCCCTTGTGCTCACTGTGACTTGATATTCTAAGCGGGATGGTCTCTGTGCCTCCGTGTCAGTCCTTAGGTGTGATCAGCCCTTTCAACTCCTTAAAGATAAATGGTGTTCCTTCTGAAGTATTTTTTTTTACCATGCAAGTGCTTCAGGAAGGCAGCTGCAGCTGGCATCAGAACGCAACTGCAGCTTTTTGAATGGCTTCTTCCATGCGCTCGTACCAAGGCTGAATCTTGGTGTGAACCATCATGTCATCAAAGGCTTCCAGCCCTTCCATGACTCGCAGGACCCCGTACACTGCCTGCACCAGAGCAAAAAGAACAGAACACCACCAGCGAGTCAGTGGGGAACAGCTCAGTAGCCTGGCCAGTTAGGCTCTTTCCCCATCCTGCCATCTACTCCACCACTCCAATTAGCAGGGAAGACAGAAGGGCAGAAAGGTAGTTAGGAATATGCACGTTTTTCTATGAGGAACAGTGGTAACGTAAGGAAAGGTCAGGATCTACATGTAGTTATGGGTCAAATGTTCATCCCATCTCTGCAACAAGCCCTGTTGCGAAATGATTCCAAGGAAAACAGCTGATGCAGGGGATGAATCCTGCTCCAGCCCACACTGCTGCCCAGCAGCACCAAGTTTTGTAAAACCTGTGCGGGTGGGAGGCTTTATTCACCAGTACACAAGCCAGAGCAGTGTCCTGGCTTGTAACCTGCTTTTATCATGCTTCCATGTTAACAGCAACATCCACCTGCAGATGGGAACAGCATCTTAGGAAACACTCTTCTGGAGGAAAACAACAAATATGATCCTACTTAATCTAAGTCCCCTGCACGTGGGAATCGTATTACTGCACAGAGGATGTCAACATTCATCCCACCCAACCCACCTTCTCTACCTGTATTTAATTATTTCACACACATGAGTAACTAGGTAATGTGTAATACACCAAAGAATAAACGGAGGAATTAACCCCTTACCAAGTCAGCAAGGTTGGGCTGGTTTCCACCCATGAACAGTCGATGTTTGCCAACAGCTTTAACCCACTCATTAACTGCTTCATACAAGTCTTCTCGGACATCATCTTGAAGGTGATGTCTGGATAAAGAAAAGAACTACTTTGAAAACACTAGGTTGTTTCTTTAACCTTTTATCATCTCTCATCTTATGGGGCTGGTCCTTGCCTGGGGATCAGGAAGGTATCCAAGAGTGAAGGGGGCAGCTGGTGATTACATAGTAGATGAGTGGAGGGGTTCAGCACCTCCAGTTAAAGCAATACACTGTTACTCACATTGGATTAAATGGCTTGGTTTAAAACTCTAGGTGCTGCCCTTTTGGGGTTCACAGCTAAGGAGGTTAAGGAGCTATTCCTCTCATGTACTCGGTGCTCAGTGGTACCAACCTTTTCTTCAGCCTCTTGCTAACGAAGAACATGGCAACAGCCCCCACGTACTTGGCAAACAAACCCTCCATGGTGCCAAACTTCCCCTCACGGACAATGTAATCGAAAGATGCCAATGCTTCTCTGGGGGTACGGTAAACGTTGGGGGAGATGAGGTGAACAAGCCAATCATCTGCCCATTTTCTCCACTTCATTTCTTCCCTGGAAGCATTCAAGAGAAAGAAACTTTCAGTGAATGAAATACAGATTTCAGGTCTACAGGAGGGAGAACAACAGCGGCACTGTGCAAAGGTTCTGACAAGGAAAAAGGTATGGAAAACTCCTGCCCAGCCCGGTACTCTGGTCACCTCTCTGAAACACACTCAGGATTCTTCGGCAAGAATCCTCCAATCTTAACTAAAAAATCTTAAGTAAAAGTAAGACTAAGATAGAGCTTCTCCTCCCAACATGAGAACTAAAGCAGAAAGGGAAACCAGCCCTCCATAGCATTCCCCTGTGACATAAAGGAAAGGCCAAGAAGGGAACTGGAAGCAGCTGGCGGTATGACCATGATGGTGGTAACTAGGCCATCTAACAGCACTGTTACACAAGAAACAGCAAACCACTCTAACTGCTGAGGTTTTAAACACTAATTGCATGTGACAGGATTTGTCACCACCAGTGGGATTTTACATCCACATCATCCCTGAAGCACATAAGGAGGAGGCTGTAACCTTTCCTGGAACTTAAGGGCACTTACACTCTCACTTCTTTGACAGGATAGATTTGTTTTGTCTCCTTCTCATCCAGCATGAGCCAGTATTTATTCCCATACTCAAATACCTCCTTGCCCTGCTCAGACACAGTCTTCATAGGAGGGTAAAAGGACACAATCTCCTCTAAGCTATTCCTCCTGTGGACAGAAACACAGTTAGTGCTGACCCAGCTGCTGAAAACTGAGCAAGAGCAAAGGACAGTTTGAAAAATACACACTTTAAAATATATTATTCTAAAAATAAGACCACAAGGTTCCAAATTCTATTTAAAATAAGTTTTGAAAAGAGTGGAACAGCCACTTGCTAATAACTAGTATTAGCACATATACCTTTGGGTCAGAAGTTTTTGCAGGCATAAAACTTCCTGCCATTCCCAAGTGACCTAAAGGCCGCAGACACAGCATTTCCACTTCATTCTAGATGTTAGAACTGCCTAATTGTAAGCTTAGTCCCAGGATTAACTTCAGTCCATGTTTAAATAGGTTTTGTGCAAAGAGTAACAAAGTAAAGGTGAAAAAGCAGCTCTGGCAGGTAAAAGCTTTGCTTTACTGCACATGCATCACAATGCAACAGGTATCATCCACACTATCACAGCTCAGCTGGGTCAAACACCCAGAACTTCAGAGGTCATAGTCAGCAAGACACTTAGGACCAACTTCTAAATCTCCAGTCCTCAAGGGCCATTCACACTCAACTCTTCTCCCATCTCCCCGTCTTCTTACTTGGAAATGAGATAGGTCTTTATTGCACTGATGATCACCGAGGAGTCATTCAATTGCTGAAAAACAGAATTAAAACAAGCTTCTTTTAAAAGCAGTTGGTGAAATTGAAAAGGAAAGTCTTCAAAACCTTGCCCCCTGCATGCTGAGGCTCCAGGTTAGTACTTGCAGCCCCTTTCTCTGCCATGTACATCCACAGGAGTCCCTGCACATCTAAAGACAGCCCTACGTGCAAATCTCTTCTGTGACTGTTTCACAGCATCACCTCAAATTTGCTTTTCACTAGATAAGCTGAATCTTGAGTGTTCTTGAGATCTCATTCTTTTCCCACAAGACACAAGCAATTCCTGTTATGACTGGAACAAATTACATGTCCTGAATAAGAGCTGATAGAAGCTAGATAATCACTGCGTTACAGTCACTACACAAACATCCCTCATAAGAAAGAGCAACAATAAACTAACTAAGTCCAAGGCATAGGAAGCCATGAAGCAAGTAGCAAGTCTTAGGCTCTGAAGAGGACAAAAGATGATCTAAAGATTGCACTGTATGTGATATGTGTATGTGAAACCTGAGAGACATGACACAGACAAAGCCTCCAAACCACTGCTTGTGGGGAAATCAAGCTTTCAGCTTAGTAAGACTTACCAGAGGGCTTCCAGCATTGGCGAGCAGGATAGGCACCTTTCTGTAGGAAGAGAATTTGATCTCTTTCCTCATTATTGGGTTCACTTCCACAATTTCATAGGGCAGGCCATGATAATCAAGAAAAGCTCGGACTTTGCTGCAGAAAGGACACGTTTTATACTGGTAGAGAGTGAGCTGCAGGCTCCCTGCAGGCAGCTGGGGAAGGAAGAGACCAGAAGCTTCTATTTGCTACTAAAAACATAAATATTACCTCCCTTCAAATCTTATTTTTCTCATTAAGTCACAGTCATGGACATTCAGTTTCAACATCTGAGCATCACAGTATCTTCACTTAGAAATGCCCTCTTCAAATGGCATCACTATTGGTTCTATTGCGGCCAAATAGCTGGGTTTTAGTCTAAATAACTTAATCTGCTGGCAGCTACTCGGAGCCAAGGATAAAAACCAACAACCAAACACCAAGTTAAATCCAGTTTACCCTTCTATACGCAATTGTGAAACTAAAGAAAAGCACAAGAATATCTTAATAATCTGTAAATCAAACCCACAAGGCCTTTTTAACCCGTATTTTTATCCCCCCCCCCACCCGTCTGTTGAGGCCACAAGGTGGGAAGAGCACGAGAGTCTGCTGTTGATTACAGGCATGCATCTGCCCAAGTTCAGGCTCCTAGGATTACCAACCTGTGGGGAACTATGCCAAGGTGGGAGACCCCAGGGCAGCACATGCTGTAAGGCATCAATCAGGTGAGGAATGCTCCCCAAGACCACTACATTTCAGCCATCTGACAGGCCATGCCAAAGACTACTCACACATGATAAAACTGCAGCCACAGAGCCACAGACTGGTTTGGGTTGGAAGGGACCTTAAAGCTCCTCCAGCTCCAACCAGGGACCCCTTCCACTAGAGCAGCTTGCTCCAAGCCCGTGTCCAACCTGCCCTTGAACACTGCCAGGGATGGGGCAGCCACAGCTTCTCTGGGCACCCTGTGCCAGCGCCTCAGCACCCTCACAGGGAAGAGCTTCTGCCTGAGAGCTCATCTCAGTCTCCCCTCTTTCACCTCATTGTGCTTCTCATTCGCAATTTATTTGGTTACACAACCGTCTGTGGGTGCTGGGTAAGGCACCAACAAACAACGCTGCTTCGCATCCCCAGCAGGCTTCCACTTCCCGTCAGGAATTCCGTGCAGCCCCTCAAGGACAGCGCTGCCGGGGCCTCCTCCAGTTTTATGCGGAGCACAAAAAGCCGCTTGGTCGGCACACCGAACAGACCCCCGCGCCCCACCGCAGCTTTGCCTTCAGGGGCCCACCGCCGCGGCCGGGCAGGGCAGGCGCTCCGGGAACCCCGCGGGGAGGGAAGGAGAACGCGGCCCGCAGGAAGGGGGGAGCCGCCTCAGGCGGCGAGCGGGGCCCGGCGGCGCGTTACCTCTGCGGCCGAGTGCTCCCGCAGGCGCTGCCGCGCCGCCAGGTAGAGGCCGGCACCGCCGCCCACCGCGAAGGCAGCGCCCAGCAGCAGGCGGCCTCCCCCGCCGCCGCCGCCCGCTCCGCCCGCAGCTCCGTAGGCCCGGCAAGGGGCCCGCAGCCACCAAGACGATAGCAGCGCGGCGGCCCTCCAAGCCCTGCCGGCAGCCGCCATCTTCCCGGCACGGCGCGGGTGGGCACTGGGGAGGGCTTAAAGGGACCGCTCCGCCCCGACATGGCGGCGGCGAGTGCTGCTCGGGCGGGTGGGGATGGCCGGGTCCTCGCAGCGGTGGTAGAACACGGGTCCGCCGAGAAGACACCTAAAGGGGGAATGGGATATAATGTGTTCCGTGGGAGCATATCCTCCCTGTGACCAGCACGGTACCACGATGCGGAAGTCTTCAGAAGAGCGCTTCACGCTGAATGTCATAATCCTTTTCATTAAAGCGTGGTTATGTCTATTAATTAATCTCCAGTTCCTCTATATTGGGCCCAACACAGCAGCATGCAGCGGGGTTACCCCACAGAAAGGAGAAGAGCTGGCTGTGGTGGTAAATAAGGACATAACCTTTCCTTCTTTGCCCCAAATACCCAGTTAACAGCAGCGTCCTCAAACCGGGTTTACCTCCTGAGTGCTGCTTGAATTAATGCTCTAATTGCAAGTTATTTTCATCCCAGTGACATCAGGATGAGAAAACCACACAGCGATTGGATCTCCTGGGGCTGAGCGATGTAGGGGCCAAAGACAAGGAAGGACAAAGCCCGTAGCAGGCATTCCTTCAGGGTACAGGAGGTGTGGAGGTGCCCTGAGGGCAGTTCAAGCTGCTGAGGGGATGGAGCGGAGCTGGTGCCACAGCTGGATTGTGGAGCTCAGCAGCAAAGCCCTCACTGCTGCAGCCTCAGCACCCGTGGGTCAGCCCGGAGGCTCCTCGTGGTGGAGGTGCAGCTTGTCCGTATGGATGAGATGTCTTGGGAAAGAAGCGCTGGGTGCCGATGGTGCCCCCTGAGGGCAGCTTCGCTGAGTGCCCAAGTCATGGCCATAGAATCAACCGGGTTGGAAAAGCCCTTTGAGATCAAGCCTGCCTGCTCCATAGCACCGCCAAGGCCACCACTAACCCATGGCAATGAGGCCTCGTCTTCACGCTGTGTGAACACTTGCAGGGACGGTGACGGCAGCCCTGCCCTGGGCAGCCTGTTCCAGTGCCTGAGCACCCTCTGGGGCAGGAATTGTTCCTCAGCTCCATCTACACCTGCCCTGGCGCAGCTTGAGGCCGTTTCCTCTTGTCCCGTCACTAAATGTGTGAAGCGCAAGTGTGTGCTATGGCTGGGGCAGCCTGGCACCGGGGATGCGGACCCCAGGGTGCAAGGGCACAGCCTGGCACTGGGGACGCGTTTGGGGTGAAACCCCTAAGAATTGGAGAGCCCTGCCCGCCCCTCCCGCCCGCGCCCCGCGCCCCGCCCGCTAACCACAGGTTTTACCCCCGCGCCGGCCGGCCGGCCCTGCGTGACGCGCGCGGCTCCGAGCTCTCCCATTGGCTAGCGGCCCGTGCGGGCTCAGGGCCGAGCCGTGCGGGCGGCTCCGGCGCTGGGGCCGCGGTGTCCCGGCGGGATGTCGGGGCCCAACGCGGAGCCGCACGTGCCGGCGGGCGACGGCGGGGACGGGGACAGCGACAGCTTCGGGGAGGAAGGTGCGTGGCGGCGGCACCGGGCAGCGCCGCCCCCGGTGGAGCCGGGTGGCGCGGGGTCAGGGCCCCTCCTCCCCTCCCCGGCGGGCTCCCGTAACGGGTTGCTGCCTCAGCTGGGAGCGGGGCTGGGCCGGTCCTTGCCCGGCAATGGGGCGCGGAGCTCCCGCAGCCCTGGGGTGCGCGTTTCCTCCCGTTGTGACCCGTTTATCCCGTGCTACTGCGGGTGCGTGTAAGCGAGGAGGAAGATGTTTCGGTTTTGAAACCGCAGGATGCGTGACGTGCGCAGAGCTGGGAGGAGCGGTGGGGTTGGTGAGGCTGAAATCCAGCGCGGCTCGGCCCTCATCATAGGACGTGTGTGGCCAGAGCACATCCTCCCCTTCCTCCTCGCTTTCTCTGTTGGCTCCGAGCAGTGCTCCAGGCACGCACTGTGTGTGTCACCTTGGCTCTTGATGCTAGGGTGGAGAGGCGCCAGCCCCAGCCGGTGAGGTGTGGGCTTGTCCTACCCATACTTTCCTGTCCTGCAGCTCGCAAGCTCACAAACATCAGCCTGCGGGCACAGCTCAATGCCCGTGTGGCTTCAGAAAGGAACATGAGCCTGGCTCCTGAATAGCCTGTCAGCAATTTGTCTTTTCAGTCTTTTTGTTATTCTTTAGGATTGTGCAAATATCGCTCAGAGGAATCCAAAACCAAGTGTTTCATCACAGTAGCACAGCTGTTTTCATCTGATTAACAGTGCTAATGCACATCACTGAAATGCCATTGTAGCCAGGCTGACACTTTTGCACTTGAAACACGTGCTGTGAATAGGAAACTGTACCCAGAGAACCATCTGTCAGGGTCACACTGGATGAGTTCAGTTCTAATATGAAGGACCCAAAGCCTTACTGGTGCATGAAAACCCTGCAGTTGAACCCTGTGCCCCACACTTCAGAAGTAACAGTGCCTCCAGCAGCACCTTTGGGCTCATGCCTGCTCATGCCACAGCAATGGCTGTGCTGCGTTGGCAGCCTGATCCCAGCCAGGCACTTGCAAAGCACATTCCAGCCTGAGAGCCTCACACAGGTAATTAACAGAACGTTAATGTTTCACCACACAGTGCCAGAATGTCTCCACCATCAGGAAAGATGAGCCCTAAGGCATCTAAAAAGCCTCACTTGGGATTTATTTGGTGCTGTTGCAGTATGGCTTGCTGCATGCTAGCACTCAGCTATTTATATGTGAGATCAGAGGCTGCTGCATACATCAGCAGTGGGTTTGGGCTGCCCAGACCTTGGTACCCGTCCTCCAGCTGCCGGCTTGATCAGGGAACACAACACACACAGGATTCAGTTGCATTTTACTTCACCCACCCGTGGCAGATCAGGCACAGCCAAATTGCTGTGTGTTTTGCAGAGTTCTTGCTGCTGTCCCTGGCTGCAGTGACAACATACTTACATTGTTCAGTCTCTCATTTCCTTTCCTTTTAGAATATGCAGCAATAAACTCCATGCTGGACCAGATCAACTCCTGCTTGGATCACCTGGAGGAGAAGAATAATTACCTACATGCCTGCTTGAAAGAGCTGCTGGAGTCCAACCGCCAGACACGTCTGGAGTTCCAGCAGCAGAGCGAGCAGCAGAACATGGAAGCTGATGTGCACGGATCGCAGCCTCCCAAATAGTGTCTGTCCACAACCTCAGTATTGCTGAGGGAACTGGTCACTGATTTAAACTGTGCTTGTGTCCTGCCATTCACCTCCATGTTCTGTTTTTCTTTAGCTGTGTGATAGGTGCAGAAGCACACAGGTGGATGGAGGGGAGCTGGTTCTTTCTGCTACCCAACTTGGTTAAAGCTGGGTGTAAGGAAACCTGATGCCATGCAGGTTGTTTGTGAGCAGGTTCCTCTTCACAAAGAGGAAAAATGATCTCGGCTCTTTTAGACCATCAAGTCCAAGCAAGTCCAAGTGTTACAGCTCTAGCCTCTTCCCTCAAAAAGCACGTAAGGCAAGGGCTGTCCTGACTCCAGGCTTGCCCCTAAGTGTAACTCTGGTGACACACTTGGAGAGGGAGGCCCTAGACCAGCTCCTGCCTTAAAACCGCTGCTTCTCTGTTATTCACGTTAACTGGGATGTCCAAAATGTTGGCTGATGGTCCCAGATCACCAGATGCTTCTGTCCCATTCCAAACAGATAAGACAAGCTGCCAGGATGATGTTTTGACTGGTATAATTGGAAGCTACCTAACTCCTTAAGCTGCCATCAAGAACTCAGGTGATAGAGGGAATCAGAGCAGCCCAGTTAGTCCCCATCACTGCATGAGCTGTGCAGAGCAGTGACAAGACCTGCCTGTGGGCTGCTCCCTGTACGTTTTGGCAGGAGTACGTATGAGCATCCTGGTCTGAAACAGAAGTCTTGCCAGGATGGCCTGGGGCCAGCACTGCAAAACAATTCTTACTGTTCTGTAGAATTAAAGGAGCTTGTTTTGAAAGTTAAAGAAGTTATTTATAAGAAATCTGTTTTATTAAAATCAGTTTGAAATCAGATTTGTTCCCAAGAGCCTCCACTATGAGAACAGACTGTACTAGGCCTTGTAGCATTAACAGAGGACCAAGATGCATTCTTGCCCAGCTCAGGACACAGTGCTTGCCTAATGTGCATCTCTGAAAGGAAAGCGTTCTGAGAAGCAGAATTGGGCACACAGTCTTCCAAGAGACAAACTTTTCCTCTGCCTCGAAAGGAAATGAGAGGAACTACAAAGAATTACTAGTAAGTCTGCATCCATCTACTTCATGGACTTTGTCCCCTGTGACAATCCCATTTCCAGGTTCAACAATCCAAGCCTCAGTTTCTCCACACAGTTGCTGTATCCCAACCGTACAAGTAATAACCAACACCATCCTGTATTAGACACGCTAAAGCCAGGCTTCTTTTATTCTTAAAATAAAAACAGCAGTAAAGTTGAAGGTTTTTGCTCTATTAAAAGACTCAGAAAATAAACATTTCCAGCAAATATCATATGTAAAGGGCTCTCCCTTTAAGGCCACTCTATCTGGGTTTGTGCCTAGAAGAGCGTCTGCACCCAGCAGAGGTAAGACTGGCTGTCTCACCTTTGGCTAGGGAGGAAGGCTCTGCCTCTGCCTCATTCTGTGCTAAACCCCATCCACTCCCCAGATCCTGGCAGTCGTCTGTGCCTTCCCTTTGCCTGGCTGCATTGGCTTCCTCCTCCTCACACACGGTGGATGCCCACAACTCCCCTGCCGCGCGATTCTCCTCGGGGAGCGGCCAGTCGGCACTAGTGGTAGTGGGCTTGCGCTCTTCCTGTAGGTTCTCTTCGTCTACAACCATGATTCCACACACATCATCAGTCACACTGGCCAGGCCTTTGCCCTCTGCTACAGAGGTGGCCAGCTCACCCTTACCCTCCAGAGACCTTGGAGCTTGTTCTTGCAGGGCTGACAGCTCTGTGCCCCCTTTCTCTATCACACGATCATCAGTTTTCTTGCTGGTATCTGCTGCTGGAGCAGGAGGCTGTTTTGGATCATCCAGCAATTGGGAGCTGGAGCCCTGGGAATGCAAAGGAGCCTCGGGGTAGGCAGCTGTGGCACGATGCCTCGCTGCCTTGTATCTCTGCAAATACAAACAAACCAACATGAGAGACCAATCCAGCTCAGGCACTGCAGCAAGCGGCATCTGGTCCAGGAAAACCTGTACAAAAACAGTGGTGAGCAGCAGCTACAATCTGCAGGGGCACGACTTGTCTCAGCAGCTTTCCTGGCCTGGCTGCTGAGGCTTTCGAGCAGAGAAGGGTCAGCTCCTGTGAGGAAAAGTGGCAATATTAACAACTGCAATCCCTCTCACATTACTGAGTGCTGAGCGAGTGCATGGCAGACCCCTGGCTCCCCAGCCAAAAAAAAATCATGTTTTGGCAATGGTTAATCTTAGTCAGACTCAGGATTTTATGGATGTAACAGTGTAAGTGGCACCTCCTGCTTCAGCTACTGCCAGGATGTAACTCTGGACATGTTCCCTGGATACACAAGGCACTGCCCTCTGCTATAGCAGAGTGATTTAATGTTCACCAGCCCAAGCAAGACTTCAGTTGAAAGCTTAAGGTTTTTCCACTCTGTTGATACAATCTGTGCACTCAGTGAAACCGTTGACAGGAACACTAAGATACCAAGAATATCTTCCTGTTACAGGGCACTGAGGTTCTCTACAGAAGACAGGTAAGCATCTCATTGATAAGATGGCTCATTTGCACTCGCTACCACGAGGAACCAGTAGAGGTCTGTAAGGAGATTAAAATGGCCAACAGCCATTTGCAAGACTGGATTTCACAAAGACAGCAATTCTGTGTAACCATCCAACATGCAGCAGGAATCAGGTCTTCAAGACCCAGAGTATGAGCTGAAGATAAAACAATCCTCAGCAGTTCCCTCCATAATCAATTCACTTTTGGCTTTCTGCTTAACAGGTCCCTTGAACTGGCACTAGCATTAGACCTGACAATTTAGCAGTGCTCCCATAGTTTGTAGTGTGGAATTACAGCGCACCACACAGGCAGCTTCACATTGTAATTCAGTTTATCACTGCAGGCTTGTTCTTTCTCTGTCCTCAAATAGTGGGTTATGCACGAAATCATAACAGAATTAGATCAGTCAAGTCATAATGTAGCCAAACTGAACCAGATACAAGCACATCAACTTGTTTCCAGAGTGATGCTGTGAACTGCTTCACCAGCAGACAGTTCTCTGCTTTGAAACCCTCTGCTACTCAGATAGAGTACCCCAGAAACTAACAATGATTTAACTCAGACTGCAAGAACCCCAAGGCACCCTGGAATAATCGTTACTTGCCTGCAGGTATTTAAGGTTGGACTCTGTTATAAATAATCCCTCCAGGTCACTCTGGCATCCATATGAAGAGCATCTGATTTCAACTCTAAGTGGGCCAAAAGGGAGGCATAACACACCGCTGCTGCCATTTCACTCTAGCTGATCTAAAATAAGCCAGGAAGACTGCAAGGCCGATTCCTTCTTCCCTGAAATGTCTTACTGCAGGAGTGGGAGAGGATGAGCAACCATGAAGGAACAGCTGTGGTCTTCTCCTGGTATTTGCCATTCCAAATCTACTGCTAAGTGCTGGCTTCTGCAGCACCCACCCCTTACTGGAGGCAGGGACTGTTGACTAAGAATAGTTAACCTGCCTGAAGACTAGAAGAAAAACATGAGGTTTGGGGTGTGTTTGTTTCTTAAAACACTACCAAAAGCTGGTAGGGAAGCACACTGGCTTTTGTTGGAGCAGGTTTTGGGTGCAGAGGACAAAGTCAGTGTGGGAGCCTCCCTCCTTGCACAGGCAGGGCCCTGGCAGTGGTCATGGGAGAGGGCAGAGGCAGTGCAAGCCCTGTGTACCCACCACAAGGCCCCTCACCCCCTGGCAAGTCAACAAGGACAGAACAATGGAGGCAGATTCCAGGACAGCCCAGTAGGAAAAGCTTCTACAAAGCAGCAAAGGGCAGTATGGCTCCTTTAGGTGGAGCCAGTAAAGCAAAGGAACAGCATCAGTTGGCAGAGCTTTGTGCTGAGGAGCTTCTAGGAAAGGGCAGCAGACAGACAGACAGACAGACTCAATTCCTGTTGCAGGCTGACCCTGGGGACCAAATGGATTCTCACCAGCTCGTAGCGTCCATCACATAAAGAGTCTGTAATGTTAAATTTCCAGATATCTAAGGTGAGGATCTGATTTTACCAGGCTCCTTCATGGATGAATCACACCCACAATTTTGGCTAGTGGAGCTGCTCCTGCAGTATCACAGGCAAAGATGCATTATGTACAAGCTTTCTTTACAAGGAACAGCCCCTCTCTCTTGTTCTTTCCCCATCTAGACCCACCTGTAATCTGTCTAACAAAGAGGCCTAGACTGAACGATAGACTCCACAGGTTCAGCAAACAGAGCAGACACTCTGAGGAAGATTTCCAGCCAGAAATGGGCAACAAGATGACAGCAGCAGTAGCTGGGAAGCGGGACTGGACTGCTTTTAGATCTACAGGGGTGATGGGAGACAAACACAGAGCACACCAGGAGAAATCTATGGCACAACGGACACCAAGGATGATGGGAATGAACTGAAGACAGGACAGCTAACGTGGTGGATTGGCTGAAGAGACACGCACGGGGGGTAACAAATGCCAGGCCATGCAATCGCCAAAGGGTCTAACCTGAAAGTTCTCAAAATGCATCAGGGACTTGCAGTGTGCGAGCCGGGCAGCAGAGTCGCTATGGTAGAATTTGTGACACAGCCTGCAGAGGTAACCTGCGACGGGGACCAGAAAATCCAGGCCTGTGAAACGGGAGGGGAAGGGAAATCACAGATCACATTGAATGGAACTCAAATAATGAAAGCATGTTAAAGGGGAAAGGGTTGAAGGGGGAAGAAAAGTGGAAAGCTTTGCTTCTGTTAATCAGGGAGTTGCAAGACAACTTGCTGAATATCTCATCTTACCATGGAATGGCTGTGTGGTGGATATTCAGAGAGAAATCTGGCTGCCAGAGCAAAGAAACTACACAGAGCATTAAAGTGGGGGGGAAGGGAAAAAAAGAATACAATGGAAAACTACAGAGAACATGTGATCTAATGTAATGGGATCAAACCAAGCAGAAGACAGCAGGCGCGCAAGAGGAACACGCAGAGAACATTCACAGCATGAATCATTATTCCATCTGCCACACGATAGT